AAAATGCAAGTCTTTAACACTGAAAAACAAGCTGACTTGACAACACAGTCTTGATTTCATTGGACGTCATGTAATGACAGCCAACCACATATCTGAGTCTGTTATTGTTTGTGTGTCAGATAGAAAAACCAACCATCCATGACAGGCTTAGAGAGGAAGATTCGCCAAGTTTTCCAGAAGAGGACATTCAACACAAATTACAAATGGCAGTGGCAGCCGGGGAAAAAAGAAGAGAAATGCCAACCCCTGTGCCTTTGTTGTTCTCCTTTAATTCTGTTAATCGCCCCCAGGTAAAGATTAGCTGCTCTTGCCAATTTAATTCAGCCTCAAATGATGCCGCTACAAGGTCACTTTTTCTATTCCTCCTCTCTCTTCTGCGTTCCCTTCATTCACCCTTCCTTGCCTCACCCCCCCTCACTTTCCATCCCAACAAACTCTCTCCTCCATTTCTCTTTCCGTGAGCAGGATTGAGTTGTCATGTAGTTCTAATAGGCAGCACAGGGAATCATTAGTCCACCTCGCCTCCCTGACTGATGGGTATTTCACTCCAATCATCTGAGTACTGTGCGTGTATTTGTGTAGGTGTGTGTGTGGAAGGAGAAAGCTGGAATATCCCCCACCTCACCAACCCCCCTTCCGCACATACACACTCTCTCCGCCATAGACTATCACCAACACCCCCAACCCCCTAACCCCCCTCCGTCACAGCATTGTGCGCCTGCTGCTATTGACGGAGTGTCAGAGCTGAGGGGAGATGTCTTAATCAACTTGGACACACTGGGCATTGATTTGACAAGCTGCTGTAATGACCTTCTTGTTTTTGTAAAGGATCACTGTTTATCTGGGCCACAAGTGATGTGCTGAGCATGCCTCATCGTCATGGAAACTATTATCACAGTAGAATTGGGACAGGGCTCGGTCTTTGGATCTTTTCCTTTTCTTTCTCTGTCACACAAACAAACACACACACACACACACGCAGCCACACTTATCGATATCGATATGTTTGAGGTGCCCTACTATAACCAGATGTTTGGATACTGTAAAACATTGACCGTGATGTTACACGGTTCAGGGGTCAAAAGGTAGAAGCTCTAAATGGTGTTGACAGCCTTTGTGTCAATGTTATGGAAATTGTTACACAGTGGTTGGATTGACTGAGATGGCTCAATAATCCCACGACAGCTGTTTCATGCACTTGCCTTCCAGCTCTTTTTAGAAAATTATTTTAAACCTGCAGGTCACTGATTTGCTAAACGGCTCATTATGACAAGGGGATAATGATATATATATCTAAAGATATATGAATATATCTTCTATTAGTCAATGAATGTTTAAAAGAAGTAGCTAAAAGAAGCATAAACAGCATCGGTGTGGTGCTCCATCGTCTGGTTCACGTTTAAAGGCACACCCTGCTTCCTTAAAAAGAAGAAGAAGGTGAAAAAAACGACACTGCTGAGTTTATTTGCAGGGATCTCAGGTTCAGGGTGCTGTCAGCTTCTGTCAGGGCAATCAGCAACACTCAGCCTCCCTTGAATAGCCCGCACACCAGACGGTAAATATTATTGGCATTCTGACACCCTCTCGCTGCGACGAAGTGTGTAAAATTGTTAATAAGGAACATGATGGGGCCACCACACGTCGTCCTGAGAATGGAAAAGCTTGCTCTTGTTGGCAATTATCCAAATAACAGGATGAGGCGTGCGAGGACAGGTGATTTAAGTCCTTAGCTGGCTGGTGGAGAGGTTTGTTTTGGCAAAGAGGAAGTAAAGAAAAGTCACAGAGGTCACATGGTAAACATTGTCCTTGTGATTTATCCATCAGTAAAACTCCTTATAAAATGTACACGGAGACCCTTGTATGTGCCGTTTGGAAAAATTGCCATATACGAGGCACTTTAACACTTGAGGGCTGTTCTACATTATGTATGACAGGCATGTGAGTGTAGGTAGGCTAAAGGTTGCTGGTGTGTCAGCTTTAAGTATGGCTGAGAATGTGCTGCTTGTTTACTGAAATCCACTGTTATTAGTTATTTCTATGCCTCCCTCTGAAAGTCTCAATGTGACACTGAGATAAGGCAAACAGTATTCCCTCCCTTTGCATAGAGCAGGTAAGTCATTATTTTTAAAGGCATAGTATCTCCAAGTCACAGAAGGACACGTTGATAGGAGAATAAAGTACACAATCGTAAACGTTTATGCCAGTATTTCTCACTGTATGATTACATTTTTATGGTTCATATTCTGATAGGGCTTGTATTTGCTGCCACCTCCAGAGAAATGAGACAGGCCCAGAGGTGGCATTTCTCCTCTGCTTTATGGAGAGTTGGGTGGGGGTGGAGAGGGGGGAGCTGGGAGGAGAGTCCTGCTCGTTTTTGTTCAGTAAACACACTGCCAACCTAAATGGCTGATCAATCAATTTCAGCGGGATCGATCTGCATCAGTTCTGCCTGCATGCACACACCCGGAGCCACTTTATTGTAAATCAATCATTTTGAAAACATCTCACAGAGGGGCCCGTCCTCACTAACAAGCCATCAATTCCAGCTGCCTGTGTAGCACCCTTATCAGGCCACAAATCAGCAGCCGCACAAACATCTGCTCCATTTCCATCGCTTTCCCTCCTGCCTCACTCTGTCTTTTATCCCCGCTCTGTCCGTACCGCTCGTCGTGTTTTGATGTCTGGGTGTCTGGCATGGAGAAGAGAGGAGAGAGGCCGGGATTCTTCACCACACCACTTAAGATAACCCAAGGGTAATAGTGTTTGCACATTTGAGAGAGAAATGAGGACAAATGCCAGGGTGGGTCATACGTTCTCTTTCTGACCGCCTGTTTGACATTGGAGTGTGAAATTGCACACTTCAGCTGAGGAGGAGGAGGAGGAGGGGAAGGAGGGCAGGGCTCGGAGACTTATGAGATGTCCACTGATTTCTAGCTATGAGATAAGAGTGGCTCGTTGTCTGAGAAGTCATCCTGACACATCATAACACCTCAGAATTGGTGCTGCTCGTGATGTTTGAAGGATTCTCGGGAGATATCTCCGTACCCTTGACACGGGCAGCACAGTGTTCACTGCAGTGTATATCTAAACAGATTATTGGAGTTGGAAAATTACTGCATTACAGAAAGGTTAAAAATCCTCCAACGTTAGCGCTGTTTAATGACATGCTCGTCAAGGTGCGGGCTTCGCTTTGACATGTCGTAGCTCTAACAGCGAGAAAGAGGATTACTCCCTCAATAAATCAGTCGCTTCTATAATAACTGTATCTGCAAGCCAAATCCACATTAAGATGCTACACATCCTGATGTGGCGCACATCCACAGCGCTGACATGACAGCACAGCGAGATACCTGGTATGATGTCCTTTACTCATCCACTGTCACTGTCCTGGCGGAGATATACGAGCTACTGTGGACAGAATGCTATTCCCACCCATCACTGTGTGGATCCTCATTGATTGACAGTGTGACAGGTGAAAGTGATGGAGCAGCTAATAGCATGTCAGTAAACGTAAATCAAGACTAATGCCAGACTCAGAGGATACGCGATTGGTGGTGGGACTTGGACGGCAGGGTCACCGACCCCTCGGCAGGGTGAGGATTGGTAAAATACAGTTTGTATTCATCTCAGGTGTCTCCTGTTCATGGTCAAGGTCAGGGGCTGGGTCTTTTTCAACTGTACTGTACATGTTCAGAGAGATAATTTGGCATGTGGGTAGACTGATGGTGGTCATATTTGATGTTGTGCACGAACATGAACGCTCCATGTTGTTGGCTGGAGTGATGTTGGTTTGGTCTGCGCATTTTTTTTCATTTGCAAACAGAGTTGTGCAAACACTGCACCGAATGGACACCTATCAGACAAATACGAGATTTCGGTGTATCTAATAGAAAGCACTTTCAATCACCTCCAGAAGCTTTATAATGTAAGGTAAAGACTCTGCAGTAACAGACAGAAAGTCCCAACAATCAGATGCTGATGAGCAAATGCTTAGTGACGGTGGTAACAGGAAGAAACTTCCAGCAGAACCAGACTAAAGGAGGAGAAGCAAAAGACACATTGTGGAAAAGAGCCAAAGATTAATTAATATATGGTAAAAAATTAGAGGGATGTTTGCTTATGTTATCTGTCAATTATTGCTTAAATCAGATCAAAACACCCAAACACAGACCCGATGAAGCAGGCTAGCTGAGTTTCGGAGCCTGCTACTAAAATAAACTCACCAGCTCCTTTGTTAGGTACACCTGACAAACTGGTTTAACTGCTTGTTAACACAGAATTTAATCAGACAATCAAATTGAACCTGTGGATCTACACATGGTCAAGATGACTTGTTGAAGTTCAAACCGGGCATCAGAATGGGGATAAACAGGTGATTTAAGTGACTTTGAACACAATACGGTTGTTAGTGCTATTTTGAATATTTCAGAAACTCTTGAGCTACTGGGAATTTCCCAAATAACCACATCTGAGAATGGTCCAAGCAGCAGTTCTCTGGAAGAAAATGCCTTGTCAGAGAAGGTCAGAGAAAAATGTCCGGACTGCTTCAAACTGATAGGAAGGCAACAGTATCTCAAATACCCACACACAGCAACCAAGCTATGGAGAAGAGTGTCTCCAAATGCTCAACATGTTGAACCCTGAAGCAGATGGGCTCCACTAGCAGAAGACAACAATGGGTACCACTCTTGTTAACTAAGAACAGGAAATTGAGGCTACAGTTCACATAGGATCTAAATCTATGCTATGAAGAGTTAAAACAGTACTGAAGGCAAAATGTGGCCGAGCACTACCAAGGTGTACCTAATAAAGTGTTCGCAAGTGTATAACATTATTTAACGTATGGACATTGTTTACAAGTATAAACTACATGTAATAGTTGTGTATGTACTGTATCACTTTCTATTTATGGTCATTCCAAATATATAATTGTATAGTTCATAACTGAGAACTGCTGTTTGTAGCTGGAATTTTTCTAAACAATTAGGAGAATGTCCAGGTTTAGAACACAAATACATCCATTTTAATTTGAGAAAAAATACAAAAAGAAACCATGTACAATCTATGTACATTTTTTTTGTACAAGACAGTATATTTATCAGCAGATTATATTTGACAGAGTCAGGTAGATCAACTCAGCACCATCAAATAATCCATTTATCCATCACATCTTGAACTCATCCAAACTAATTAGACTGCTGTGTCAAACTTCCGTTTGCTGCAATGATGATGTACTAAGAAATCCTATCTGTGATAAACAAGAGCAATATCTTGAATTCTTCCTGAACTGATAGGCAGCCAAAAAAAGCAAGTTTTCTTTAAAAGAAAATGCTGAATGCAGTTTTCATGTATTATTAAGACTTGAGACCCACCTCCTATCCCCATAAGTATTTTATGTTCTATTATATATCTAGTACATTTCCCAGCAAATAAGTTTCTATTTCCATCCTTTACAGCAAAAAAATAGATTAACAAAATTAATGCAACATACTGTAACAGTAACATATGACGCGTCAGTCTTTTGATTTGTTCAGTGGATAACAACACATCTGTGCATCTTTCAGTCATCCATATCTCATTACACTGTATGACACAACCTGCTAACCTTTAACAAAGCATGTGGCAGATAGGACATGTGTGATTTATTGACTGAAGCTTGTATCCATCTGCCCCATCAGCCCCTCGGGCCTCCTGTATGCCACTTTTCGCTTTAGTGGGACTTAATATGGGCCCTCCTCTTGACCTCCTGCACTGCCTGGCACTATACTGGCATGGAGGCATTGATGGCTTGGATGTTCTCCATGTCAGTACAAGACTTTATTCTCACAGTGGAAAACACGTGGACTCCCTTAAAGGAAGCCTGTGTCCCTGAATGACTGAAGGATGCCTGCTCAACTGAACTCTTCATGGCACTTAAAAAAAAACACTCCAAAAACTTTAGAGGTATACAATGCAAAGAACATCTGAAAAGATGTAGGAAGGAGAGACATCTCAGTCCAGTGTTGTGAGTAATGCCAGCCTGAATGAGTTGTGCAATGAGGGTTCAGGTCTAAAAAAAAAAAAAAAAAAAGCACAGTAATCAAGTATAATGAAAGTAAATGGTGCATTACTTTTCGAGTTTATGCCGGTTTGCAGCATGTACCACTTTGCTATGTTTAAGTGCCTCAAAAATATTCTGTAAACAAATAAGAAGCAGTTGTGACAGTTTGTGATAGATAATGATGAGCTGACAAAATGGAATGTAAACCCTGATACAAAGCAAAGTAATAGAAACAGGAAAACGAAGGATGTCCTGTCTTTCGATAATTGCTGAATTGGTGCTACCTTTCATCTTCGTGATGGCTGATCAAATTCTGCCTAACCTATCCATGTGCCACATACAGTACTTGAATAGTCTCCGCATTCCTACAATAAACCAAGATCTTTTATTTTTTTGAGATACATATTCATCTTTTTTTTTTTTTCTCAACAGAACAATCAGTTTGTCGATTTTTATGTAGAGTGAGCGACCGATGTTACCAAATATTAATTCCTTAAAGTTCAGGCTAGAAAGTATGGCGTTAACAACCCAATTATACGTACATTTTACTCACATATTTTTCCAAAAAGAAACCTATTTGCTACAATGTGTGACAACGATGTAATCACAGTTCAAAAGTTCACTTCAGGACAATGTGTATGAGGCTTCAGCATAGTTGTACCACACCCAAAAGACGGACACTGAGGCTCAGATCATTTTGATTGAGAAAGAAATGTCATCTATATCATGGGTTGAGTTTACACAAACATATTTAGCACAGTATCATCTTTTCCATTTTCCAAAATTGTTTTCTATTTTCAGAATGACGTTCTCTTTACAATCTATAGAGCAGGATCGCTGCAATAAACAAACAGCGTCTCCCGGTCATATTCTGTGGAAAATACCAGCACACTTTGTGGTAGTGTACATACTCCTACTCCATGCTAGGGACCTAATTTAGGTCACAGTCATCTAATAAAGGTCGTTCGGTTCTGGTCTGCACACAGTGGGAGAAACTTTCTATTCATCCCGTCATTATTAACCATTCTAATCCACTGCTTAGTTAAGTACATTTACCCTCTCCCCCAAAACACAACTCCTTTACGCCTTTCTTCCCTTTATGCATGTTCTCAGCAAGGGACGCTTAGTAGTAGACACATTATTTAGTAGACACTGCATCTGTGCAACCAAAGGAGGCTTCCGATTAGCCTAAATTTATTTCTACAAGCACTCAACAGAGCTGAGCTGCCAAGCTGAAGATGTTTTCACAATGCAAGCTAGTCTAAGCTATGTTAGCTCCAGAGTGATGCAGTCTGTCAGAGAGGGGCTAAGGTGATTAAAAAAATAATCATTTGTTTTAGTATACGTGACAAAGTGACAGTCCAACATAAAATCTTTTGATATGTAGTTGTAATTAAATATATCAATTCAGTCTTCTCCTAAAGTACTTTTAACTTTGCTCTTGACTAGAAAAATAAGTACAAATTGATTATGTTTATGGATATAAAATAATTATGCTGAAATGTATAAATCCCACTACTTTTTTTTTTTCTTGGACAAGGTTGACCATTAGGAGTACGAGGCTACCGGGTCAATCCTCCGTCCATGCAGCAGCCTCATTTGGATATATAGGCGCGTTAGCATACAGAAAATACACTCATGTTGCACCCGAGCACGTTCCACTTTCTTGTCCTTATGCCTGTGGCATTTGTTGCATTTCCACCAACTATGCTTGAGCATTTCCTCGTGTTCGAGGACTGAACACAGCAGCTTGGCGTGCGACATCTGGGCTGGCAACAGAGAACATCCAAGCTCTTTACTGCCTCTGTGCCAACCCCGTGCCAGGCAGTTGCTCCGATCAAAGGAGGACCCACTGATGCCCACTATTACGCAATATGTGGCATTTCTTTCCTCATATATTAACTTTATGTTACAGGCAATACACCACTTTGCTGAGTGGTCCCAGTGCTGTTACAGTTATAACGCCATGCAGCTGCTGTTCATGTTAGATACGCTCAATCATAGTTGGCTATTTTGGTTTGGTTTTGGATGCAACTCAATGCCTTTGTTAGAATATCCAAGTGATTTATGATCTACTACTGTTTGTGTCTATTATGACTCTTTTTTTTTTCTTTTCAAACATGCTGTTCCCTCAAAGGTGCTTCATCACATACAAATCAGTGTTGGTGGGGAGTGACAGTGCAGCATCAGAAGGACAAGTGGCTGTAATACGACACACACATACACACAGTTTATACATAAACCTGAATGCATGAAGGACAGAACAGGTTTTTGTTGTTGTTGTTGTGTTTTTTTTATCCTTTTCATGTATTCAGGCTGATTAACCGCGATATCTACTGGGCTCAAGCACAGGTATCTGACATATCAGCAGAAGACTCGGGCTCTCCTTCCAGCCAGCATGCACCAACACTGCACCATTGTCTTGAGTTTTTAGATTACCAATTTGCAATATTTGATATCCTTTTTTTTTTTGTTTTTTGTTTTCAGGCCTGGATTGATCTCACTCTACATGGCGAGTCAAGGTGAAACAGCAAAACCTTAAAGCAATGACACGATGAGTAACAAACTGAGAACAAAATTAGTATGCCTCCAAAGCCGAGCAGCCCTTCCTCCGTCATCTCCTCAATGACTCTTTACTCAGAGGTGGCGTGGGGAGGTGGGGGGTGTTGATGTTTCCAGTTGTTCTGTGGAAAGAAACTTGTTCAGTTTTAGTGCAAATAGAACAGAAGCAGACGGGAGATATGACGGCGATGAACCCAGCCGGTTTGACGCAACTGAGTTAATCTTTGGGAGATGATATGATCAGTTTATCGCTGCAACCCTCATCCTCCAATAACCAGTCACTTCAGCCATGGAGTCTGGTCACATGAAGAGGTGAACTATTGCAAAGAATTACAGGAAGTACTCTTCTTTCTTTTTTTTCCATCAACTCTCAAAATAATTCCAAAAAGTGCTAGAGGGAAGGAGCTGTACAATCCTTATTTGATTGTCATTATGTACATTTCTATGGACACATAAATAAATAAAACAAATGTCCAAGAGCATGGAAGTAACATTAAACATATACACATAGGAGGTCCCTTCCCAGTCTGGGTTCCTGTCCAACCCTCAATTAGAAGAATGAGTGAGGAGAAATGTGTCAATCTTCACCACCTCTGTCATCATCATCATCATCATCATCATCATCATCCCTCCTTTGGTGATCTCTTCCAATCTCTTTCGTAAAGAGCGTACAGATGTCTGGTGAGTCAGCAAGAAAGCCTGGTGTTCAGCATTCATCTTCAACTTCTCTGATTGGTGGAATCAGACTACTAGTGGATTTGTATTGGTTGACTTGGTTGGCCATGTGAGTGCTCATGGGCTTGATCTGAATGTTCCTTGGGTAGGCATTTTCTGGTTCATCTGTAAACCATTTCTTTTCTAAAGGGGAAAACGTGAGAGAGGAAGAAAACAAGGGTTTAGTTAGAAAAAGTATGCAATGCTGGTTTAGTTACAACCATACTGCCTCAGTTTAAGTGAGATTAAGATTTGCATGGCATTCTTTGTCGTACGCAAGGTCCACTTTCAGTTTGGTTTCTGGTGACCTGAGACAATCTGAAGTTGATATGGTGGCATTGTCCATAACTGACTTTGTATTTATGTGGGTATGTTATATCAGATTTCTAATTAATTGTGGGAAGACTGATAAGACAAAAGAAAAAAGAAGAACAGACTAGTATGCTATACAGTACATACTAAAGCATATTTCAGGATCTGCTCACCCAAATTACAAAACAGAAAACAATGTTTGTTTGTTTTTAAACCATTTCTCCTGTTTTTGGATAGTTTTGGTTTTATTTCCAGATTTTGAGACATCCATTCCAGAGATTTCTGCTGTCACCACAATACAGAGTCAATGTCAGTTGACTCTGTGTTGTCAATTCTTAAAAATTAGTCTAAATAAAGACTATTTTTTTAAGAATCTCTTTATAGCAAAGAAATAGTCTGTATAAAACCTCCAATGAGTGTATTCCTCTGACCAGCCAGACTCAAGATGTGGAACGGGTGGATTCAAATTCAACATAAATACCCTCAAATTGCCAAGGGCAGTGTGAGTGGAAGCAAATGTGGGACTTTTTTTTTTTTCAATTAAAGGAAAAAAAATCTGGGTGAATTTAAATATCAAGCCTTTACAATATTAAAGTATAGCAATAGATTTAGAAATCTTGGTATTATCATTAAAACTATGTAGATGCATTGCCATTTACAAGAATACACATTTGACACATTTTTACAGGGGCTCATTTACCATTCTAAGAAATATGGTGTGTAAAATATATACACACACTATAAATAATATATACATAAATTTGCAAGTCATTTAAACATTATTTACATAAAAGTAATAAAGACAAAATATTAAGTGCTGGTGCTAAGAAAAAAGTTCGGAAGGGAACAAAAAAGCATCTCTCCATCTGTACTAAACTGGCCTTCCTGTCGGCCTGTCCCATCACCCATTGAAAATATTTGATAATTTCCCTTAACAACAATAGTGGATTATGATGAATTATTTAAAAGCTGAAATTCAATATAAGCAAAAATGAGGAAACATTTTGCCTTGAAAGCAGCAGAATCTCCTCAGTTCACACCCAGAAAAATGAAGGATTAGAGTATTAAAAGAAGAGGGAATGCAACATAGCTTTTAGTAAGTCTGTGTCCCGATTTTTTTTAAGCGTGAAATCAAGTTTAGAAAACAAAAAGAAACCAAAGAAAATTATTTTTAAAATATTTAACCGGTTATTTGTTTTTTGCTTTTTTTAATTTTTGCATTCTGTTTTTCTGCTACACAGCTTGCTCATCAAAGATTGGCCACACTCATGATAATAGTATAAAAGATGATATAAAAGGTACCAACCCTAACCCTACTGATCATAGTTTAAAAGACAGATTTTAGCACTGAGATTTAACACAATGATTAAATTAGTCCCCTTATGAAACCTGTTCTTCATGTAGTGAAACTGAATGCAATGTGCAAGGACCTGACTGAGAAATGGGCTAACTTGTGAATGACAAGTTGCTAGCTGATGAGCATGTCCCCTTGAACTGGTTCATTGCTTTTTCATGTAAAAAGTGGCATAAGCACATGTGTGCACAAATGTGCTGGTATATAAGATGGAACCATCAAACATCAGTGAAGCAAACATCAGTGAAGCAAAAGCATCTCACCGAATCATAGATACAGTTTGCAGATTTTTCTTATTAATTCAATTTTCAATTCAATTCAGTTTAATTTTCTTTATACAGCGCCAAATCACAACAACAGTCACCTCAAGGCGCTTTATATTGTAAGGTAGACCCTACAATGATACATACAGAGAAAAATCCAACAATAATATGACCTCCTATGAGCAAGCACTTTGGCAACAGTGGGAAGGAAAAACTCCCTTTTTAACAGGAAGAAACCTCAGACAGAACCAGGCTCAGGGAGGGGCAGCCATCTATTAAAGCTTTTTTCAAATGGCTGTTACCCAAGCGTTTGCTACTTGAAGCTATGCCATGTTCTACCATTAAGCCACTTAAAAATTGAGCAGGATTTCAAAAGGTAAAGGAGAGGACTGGTTCTGCACCAGCACTACATTGGTGGAAAAGAGGTAAAAGGTCCTAGCTGTGAGCAGGGATGCAGTATTTCTTGTTTGGTAAAACTGGGGTTCTGTTATTAAACTGTTATTATCCAGAGAGGTCCCACTGTCTGTGCTTTTCAGATGCAGCATCTGAACATTTTCAGCACACACAATAAACCTGAATTACTCCAACTAAACGAAAACCAAATAAATAGCTCATCTCCTCTGGAAAAACAAACAAATAATAGTGGATTAGGATTGACAGAATAACAGGTAACCAGAGGATGATCCACAACTGAACCAGTACTTTGTACTTGTGAACACTGAATTTAATTAATCTTTTCAAATATCGACAGGAAAATGTGCCTTTTGTGGTAAACTCTAAATTGTTAGTGCTGTGAAATTCTATTCACTTGTGTTGTATTTGGATGGTCGCAGAAATCAAAGAAATAGATACCATGCAATAAAACCAGAACTTTTTGTAGGACCATTTACCGATAGTGGAATTATAGAAAATGTGTCTTTTGCGATTTGGGTGATCTGGTTGTTTAGCTAATAATTTTAAAAAGTGCACCATACCCTAAACAGTCGCATTTCGGAGTGAGCTCTTAAAATCACTGTCAGCATGAGAGCAGGAAGGAGATTTGAGAGGGTTGGATGTGTCATCTAGGAGAGAATCTCTTCATGTTTAAGTAGGCTATGAGAGCAGTGTTTCTGAGGAAAGGGAAGTGTGTATGCCAGCTGTCAGAAGTTTGTAAACTCACTCCCAGCACTTCACAGGCGACTGCAACGCCATTCAAGATGTCACTTCCTTTTGGGTGAAGTTGTAATATCAAATTTTAACTTTGCGATGTGGAGCACACCCTGTGCACGCATCCGTGCGTGTGTGTGTGCGTGTGTGAAAGTGCTCGTCTACATGCAGGACTGCATGTGCAGAGATTCATTTGTGTGGGCTTGAGTGTGTGTGTGTGTCAGCAAGCTTGAGGCTGCAGGGCTGTGTGTTACAGCAAAGACATTTGATGTGTAGAATTGTGCCTGAGGTGAAGCAAGATGTCTGCCATCTCTCTCCGGAGTCTACTGCTGATACGGTGAACTTAGTGATGTCGCCTCAAACCACCATATCAGGCGTGCAGGGTTACAAGGAGGAGACTTACAGACTCATATTCCCCCTTCAATTTAAACTCTAAATTGGTCACACCTCCCACTTTTGCAGTGTGACCGATGGCACAGGGCTGGACACACTTTCTTAAAGTTCTGTGAAGAAGTAAGCAATTTGGCTGCATCAGGGGGATTTGAATCAGTCTGACCTACATGTGAGCTATGGTACATGTATGTACAGTATTACAACACGTAGTTGCTCTGCGGTACATGCTGATGCTGTTATAATAACATAGTTGCTGTGCTAAATGAGAGGATAAATTTTACATCTGAAAGTCTGCTACAGTCGTCTCATAGCATTCAATAGGAGGGAAGATGCGCAAACACACAGACCTCTCACACAATGCAAACCATCTCAAGTTCAAATAAACCGTAAGAAGGCATGATAGATAATGAGAAAAAAATGTGGAAGATGATTTTGTCTGTAGGAGAGAGGAAAAAAAATCATATCATGAAATAAATAACTGAGGTAGAGGCACAAAGGAGGGGGAGGGCAGGGTGGGGCAGGGTGGGGTGGTAGGGTGTAGGGGTTGTCTCAACCTCATGCAGTGTGGAAATGGTCCTGATCATGGCAGGGAGGCAGGAGCAGCAGCAGACATTTTGCTTTCCAGATGAAAGCAAAACTTAAACTGAGGCATGGTTTACTTAACGTCTGAAGAACGTAAGAAATAAAACAAACTCCCCTCATCATAACAATATCCACAGAGGACATAGTTATGATCAGAACCCCAGGTAAAAAGGTTGCTAAGTCATGCAGAATCGTTAACTTGCATACCTTGGCCCATTCTATTCATCCTTGTTGCACTTCAGAAAGAGAGGTAAGTAATCTACTGTAAGTGAGGCGTATTTACAGTTAATACACAACTAACAAATGGCTACCAGTCTATCTTATGCGTACATGTTGTCATTACAGCATTCGGTTGATATAATACATCTACGTTTCAAGATGTATTCAGGACTTTTCCTTTACTCCTTAACAGCTCTGGAGTACGATTGTAACAAATCTGCATGCTTTTAGAATATGTCACGCTTCAAAAATGACTTTATTCTCCCAAGTCAAAAGAAAATTACGCTCATTTTTGGGAGAAAATATGGAATAAACACCAAGTATTGTCAAAAATATTTCACCAAATTTGAAAATAATCTTATAAGTGAATAATAAAGTACAGGAAATAATAGCCTGCTCAAAAGGGCTACCAACATGGACATGCAATAAAGCAATACAGATGCACCATGATTAACAAAATATCAACACTGCTAATGAGGGATGATCTTATGAGTATCTGTAATGTCAACTTAATAATAAATATCAGCTACAGTAGCCAAATCACAGTACGTTACATCCATGATCCAGGTGTGCTGATCATGTGCACAAATATCCAACACATAACAGTTACTTACTCCACAAATACTACAAGATAAACACAAAACAACTAACTATTAAGACAAATACAACAGGTAGACCAAACAACATATTGAAAGTGAGTTGTGGTTGGGGCTTTTTACTGTAATCTTCTTTCCAACCACAATGGCCGTTTAATCCAAACAAATGGCCTTACTGTTTACAAAAGAGGCTCGAGTCTTTGAGGCAAATAAATGAACCCAGTTCTCCACAAAGTGAGTTTACCATTTTGCTTATGCCATGTTATGACTGCAGTGATGTCAGAGTGAAGACCACATGCAGATGATTATGAACAAAACACACAAACACAGGGCATGGACGCAAAGCACAAACACATAATACACAGTAATCATCAGTGCATGTGTCATCACCGTCTACACACACAAACACACACACACGCACGCACACACCTATAGCATACTGTACAGGTTGGGTATAAAACACTAATCAGGCAGATTGCAGGACATGTGCGTATGCGTACTTCTGTTTTTCGCGGGACTCCCGGGTCTTGCTGCTGCGGTTCTGCCGGTTCGATGGGGGGATGGAGTGCACGGATGAGCTCTTTTTGCTGGAGGAATGGGAGGAGTGGGAAGAGTGGGACAAACTTGTCCGGGACTGGCCGGCGTTGTGGTCGAACTGCATTAGGCAGAAGATCAGGTCGGTGGGCACCAGTTCAAATTCGTATGGAGGGTTTGTGATCACATACCTAGCCGGAAAACACATGTTACAGACGATAAGACTCAGATACATCAATGAAAGAGCGGCAAAGCATTTACTGCAACATTTAAAAATTAAACATAAAAGTCATGTTAAAAATAAAGTTTCCACAGGCCTCTAAGTACACCCTTACCTTTTCTAGAGGGATTAAATTAATAAGTAGCAGCCAGGCGCTTCTAATCAAATGCAACTGAAAATCAGCAAGCGTGATCAACTCTGTAAAAGCATGGGTTTTGGCAGTTTGCAGTCTGGAGCATTCAGGTAAATGTTAACACAATAGCACAATCTTCCCAGGAGTGGAGCTCCCAGCAAATTCACCCCAAGATCAGAGAAAACGATCAGAGAAACTCTGACATAAAATTGCATAAAACCCAAGAGCTACATCTCAGACTCTACAGGCTCTAGCTAGTGTTTTAAATGTTAAAGTTCATGACTGCACAATTAGAAAAAGACTGAATAAAAATGGCTCATTTGGAAGGGATGCAGGATACCAGAATATGAGCACAAAGACATCGACGAACTGTCAAGCACGGTGGTGGAGTGGTGATGATTTGGGCTTGCTATGCAGTCACAAGACCTGAACACCTTGTAGTCACTGAGTTTAATACAAATGCCTCTGTATACAACAGTACTCTGGAGTCTACAAGCGTAATCATTCATTCTATTACATCAAGATATTCATTTTGTCAATGAGCAAAAGCTTGTATCATACCGTTTTGTACATTGGCTTGGTGCACCGAGATGTGCATCTCTTAATCTGTAGATTCCGAAACACAGCATGTTGTATGTCTTCAGTGCTTTGCAGAATAAATCTCCGTAGCAGCCGCCATCCTGGTGAACAACAGAACAAAGAAACCATGATTGTGTGTTAGGTCAGTCAGGTTAGGACAATAAATGGAATTGTTAAGTTGTGAGATTCATGCGCTCTGTACCAGTCTTTTGCTTGCCAGTAAACACCAACTTTTGGCAGAGGAGACTGCAATAAAAACTGGCAGTGTTGTAAAATTATGCCAGAGTTCATCCAAGAAAAAAACAAAACAAAAAAAACTTCATTACTCATAGTTCACAAGATTAAGAAAACCTGTTAAAAACAAGGTTGGAACCAATTAGAACCAACACCATGTTGGTTCATTGTTCTCTTCAAAGCGATCTTCCCTTTCCACCCACTAAGGCTTGCTTTGCACAATCACTGTTCTTCACATCAGATTAAGGCCCGGGAGCAGCAGAGGTGGGCAGATGTGTGCTGCTGGGTAGTGGCAAAATGTGTCATCTGCACTTAAACATCCACTTACCCCTAAGTCAGCAAATGGCCCGTCGTAGAGGGCTAGCTGGGCGACGCGACACCTGTCTCTGTTGGCCAGAGTTTGCGGTGTGCTGTAGCCTCCTCTGAGAGCATTCTCTTCAGCCAGCAGACCCTCCAGCTCTGGCGTGGCTCCCCCTGTTACCAGCGTTCGAATCAGCGTGAGGATATTATCATTAAAGTATGTCTGGACAGAGAAAAAAAGGTATATGTATAAGCAGATGTCATTAGAGTCACCAGTAGAGCTGTAGCAGACATAAGTAAAAAGTGCTTAGACCTTACTGCCTCTCACTACTCATTAGTTATTGAATACATATTTTCTTCCTTACCTCTTGTGATATTTCACTGTAGGTAGTTTGGACTTTATTTACTGAAGTTATTAATCTTTAGGTTTCTGATAATAAATGAATTTATTTGAAAAGTCAACAGAAACACATCTTTGTAGAAACCACTTTGCTGTTATGGTCAATAACCCACAGATCTCAACACTGACATTTTTCACTGTGCCCGTTTCTTATAAAATATAAATTTTTTTAAATGCTGATCTTTTTATGCAATAGTGAATATTTGCTTTAAAAAAAATGATATTTTAAAATCTTTCTTTTCATGCGCCATTCACCAAGATGAATACATTAAAATATTTTTTTAAAAACTGACTTTGAAAACAGAACCATATACATGAATAAATACAACTAGATATAAGTGCAAACATGCTTTTTTGGCTTTTTTGGGGGGGTTAGTTGGTGAACCAGCCCTTTAAGTATTCAGTATGAGAAATGTTGCATTAGGTTGCACTAAAATATACATAAAATTCAAGATACATAAATCTATCAAATTTTAGAGCTACATGGTCAAGGACATTTTGTTAACCATAGTACATGTGGGATCATTGCATTAAATAAAACACTAGTACTTCCACAAAACATAATTCTTTCCTCTACGCACCCCACAAGGTCTGCTTTGACTTCCGAAACAACAATTTGACTGCGATCTGCAAGTGTCAGGTTCTCCTGTCCTTCAAGCCGATCAGAACCTGCTTTTGCTAAGAGTGAAGACAGCTGATGTCACCAGGCAGACGGGCCGTAGTGGCAGCGCCCCTCACTGGGACCCTGACAGGCCTGCAGAGCCTCATGATGGATGAGCAGTGTCCATTAGCTGGCTTCACCTCTGACCAGTGCCAGACTACAGCTGACGCCCGCTATACTCCCTGCACAGCTCAGCTTTGCACGCTACTCTAACCCCTTATTCGCAGAGAGAACTGCTGGAATTAAGCCATCACAGCACCAAAGGGAAACAACACACTTGGTCATCGGGAGAGGGAGAATTTTTCTGTAGCTTGTTTTCTGCCCATTTCATCTTTTTTCTTATCTCCGGCTCAGTGATCACAAATGACAAAACAGCATTTCTTTGGCCCCTTTCTAGCTGCACATATATCACCACTACTACACTAACTTTTAGTTTACTTTGTTAAAATAAAACTCCTGAAAGTTAAACAGTCAACACTTAGGGTGAGTGATGCCAACTATTTCTCTTCTGATGTCAGTGGAGTTGGCAGGCATATGTGATCAATGTACTGTGCCATTTCATTTACCAACTTCTGCCTACTTGAAATGCCAAAACTGCGCATCTACTTAAATTTATGTCAACACATCATCTCAGGATGTGTTTTTTTTATTATATACACCAGCTGAGTTTGTAACTTATAGGTAAGTACAGGTACATCTGAAAATTTATTGTTCTAAAGCAATTTAATTGTAAATAAGGAAAATAAGGAAATGATCTGGGTTTATTAACATAATGCAATGTCTTAACTCTACCTTAATCTACAGTCTCTACCTGAGCAACAGCATGCAGTTAAGTCTTTATGTACTTTATTTGAAACTCTTCTCTAATGAATATAGCTATTAAAGCATGCAGATGGAGAATTTCAAAAATAAAAATTGTAAAATTTAAAACAAGCACAGTGGGTTTTCAGTCTGTTTAGGAACTCACCGCACTCATCAGGGAGTCGAGTACACTGACAGCGAAGGCGGTGCCGCAGGCGAAGGGCTGAGTGAGGTACAGCTCTGTGTCTGGGTCGTCATCATCATCTTGGTCCAGGAACTGAACGTTTGAGTCGTTCACTGAGAGAGGGGACACAGCCGAGTTAGAGACGGGCAGAGTGAAGTGCACACCTGAGAGTTTAATAGCATACGATACACTTCTTCTTCTTCTTTTTTTTTTTTAAATGCCGAGTTACATTTTAAAAGATTAGGACACATCTTAGTAATGGAAGAAGAAGGTCTCAGGCATATAGGTATTGCGGTATGGTTGGAGCTTCCAATATAATGCAACATCAGATGCACATTATATCTCACTGCATATATACACCACTGCACTTACTTTAAAACACAAGAAAAAAAAATAAAATTCATTTCTTCTCCAAACAATTGACATGTTTTCCACTGATCATGAAATCAAAAATTATTGTAAAATTGATGCCCAAGTTTAAAAATACTCTTCTTTTGTCCTCATATGTTTAATTGTTTGGAATGTGACAAATATGTGTTGCTGAATAAAATACCTTTTTCATTTTTTAATATGTATATTGTAATATATGTAATTCTATGTACTGTATATAACATGCAGGGTGCGTTTCATACATTTAGGCAAACCACAACTTTAGATAACCATTGAAGAAGTCCCCAATCTTAGCATCTCTGTAGCTACTATATACTCATTTTGGTTTTCCTTTTATTATTTATTATATTGCTATCCAAGGTACATAACTGCACAGAATTTCAAAATACAGTGACAGTAGCATACATAAAAACAAAAACAGATATGTATTTAAAAAAAAAGTATATATCTATATATTTATAAGGGTTCATTAAAAAGTAAAATTTGAGACTTCAACAATGGCTACTATCTCACATGAGAAAACCATGCACTTAATGACATGCTATGTTTTTTTTTTGTTTTTTGTTTTTTAGGAAATTCCTTCTTGATGGATGTGTTTGTCACATCATCACCATTGTGGAGATACATCTCACATATTTACCTGCGCCCCGAAAGTCAAATTAAAACCAGATAACAACACACTTTTTATATTATGATGAAGAAAAACATGATCTGCACAGTCTAAATGAAACTAGCCTGATAATAAATGGATTTTTTAAAAAACCTCTTAAGTGTAATAAAAGAATGAGTTCTTGCTGCAAATCTTTTTCCCTATAATGTATTTCTAGCAGCAGTGGACAGCGATGAATCTATGAGCCAACATTAATCTAAAAGAGAGCATCACACAAGTTTTCTGTTTGACTTGTGCAGTATCTGTGCCTCAGAGTTATGGCATGAGGGAAAGAAAAAAAAGAAAAATACATTTTAAAAATAAACAAACAGCTTAAAAGATTTTGTTCGTTGTTGTTATTTTTGAAATTTGATTTCTTCCCTTGTTTCCTGTGAGCTGTGGAACAAAAATGTCAGTCAAAGAGAGAAGGGGGCTGATGCAAACGGGCCTGGGCCAACGGAGTGAAGGGGGGGAAAGCGGGAGTTAGTGTGTGTGTGGAGGTGGCAAGGAGGGGAGGTAGGGGTGGTGAGAGGCCGAGGGGGTGTTGCTATGAAAACAGCCACAAGGACAGACTGAACATGATCAAAGGCCTAGCGAAGCTCTGCAAAAACCCAACTGGAAGAAAGAAAACAAAAAAAAAATGCCCCAAAATAAATAAGAAAAATAAAAAAATCAGTAAAAAGAGGGCCAAAACAAGACAGTCAATTTCAGCCAGAACGAAGGATAAAAATGTGTTCAAAGTGAAGCCATGGGAGCGGCGAGAGCCTTGACTGCAGCCAGATAAATCAAGACAAGCTGATGAGGAGCGGAGCGACGGAGCGAGGGGGAACGAACGGCAGCAGAGGACAAAGGCTCAGCTTACCCAGCTCTGTTATCATTTGTATGCTGGTTCCACTTTTTTTTTCCTGACTGAGTGAAACCAATGGCAGTAGTTTGCCAGGTTTAGCTAATGGTGATGAGACAGTGCAGAGAGAGGGAGAAATTGTGTCGTTATTGAAACAGTTTCAAAGACTGCAGTAAAGGCATTCGGGTGTCTCGAGACTGCTCACGTCAACTTCGGAATTACTCTGAAATATTCACGGCTGTCCGGTGTCTAAAAGTGAAGCACCCCGGATTAGAGTGCACAGTAGATACGAAGCCCGAGCTGTCACAGCACCTTGCCGCTTCAACAACAATAAATAATTTCATGGTAAAGCAGTGAGACGGATAAAGAAAAGGATCTTATCCATAAACACACCTACTTCACACGCCATGCAAACAAAATTGATCACGAAACTCAGATGAAGCGTGTTTTTTAGGTTTGAAAGTGACTTTAATATGCTTCTGGCACTGTAACCTGAACATATGACAATGTAAGTACAGCATATATTTGGCGTAAGACATGCAGCCACTCTTCCCTTTGTATTCTCTTACTTCTTCCTTTCCTAAAAGACAATGTTATCACATCTAGTGATGCTGCAGCTTGAAAATTTTCTAAGCAAAGACCATGCAGAGAGGCAACTCCAGAGCCATGAGCATTAAGGTCCAGGACAGAAGCCTTTGGCTCTAACGTGGACTATCTAGTTTTGATGATTACATATGCGGTTAGGAGTGTAATGGGAGAGGCTCAATTCAGGTAATGGCTGTGCTGGTTACAAGTAATATTAGGCAGCTTCTTTCTCTTTCTGGCCTTTTCTTAGCTGGCCTCATGCTCCATTGCTCCCTAATTGGGTCAGAGGAGACAGAGTAGCTAGTCTCTAGTGCTTTAGAAGGCCCCTCGGAGATCTGAAAGTTTCATGAGTCCCCATCACCATTGGGAATACAACCAGTGGTATTGTGATTAATAAATGGACCCATTTTGCAACCAAGGCACTTTTCCTCTTCTACCTTTTCTCTTCCCTTTTCTCCCTCTCTCTCCATCAGGCTGAGTTTCTCTTGTCCATTAGTGGACAAATGGCAGGAGATGTGGCTTTTGTCCCGAAAGTGCGTGTTTGATACCTTTAAGTTGAGTCACCACTTGACCAAAAAAAACAACAAAAAAAAAAAAAAAACCTTGCAGGATCCAGTAACCCACATCCGAATATGAAGTTGAGTTGGGCAAAGCTATCAACAACATGAAAGTGGACAAAAATTCCACACCGTGCATTCTTTAGTCTGTTTGACCTCGAATGAGTTGGAACTTTTGATAGCAGAATGATGCCTGAGATTATTAGCTCTGTGTGTCTACATCTGGAAATGAATAATGAGTTGACTGGTAGTTACTGGATGTAACATGCAATGTTTGCAACTGAGGTGGGTGGAAACAGTTTTACCTAGTTCTGTGATGATGGGGATGTTGGATCCGGTGGTGACAGATGCCTGACGCACGAAGCCATGTACTGGACTGCTGTCTGGAGATGACCTGTCCATTCCAGGAGGCGTGAAACCTTTACACATTCGGAAACAAAGACATAGGCTGAATACATCTGCAGATAAAACAGCATTATGGATCAAGTATTCAGGCTGGTCAGCAAACTTTATAGCTGATGTAAAGGGTTTAAATCTTAATATCTACTTAATACAAATAAAGTCATGTGAAAAAGAAAGTTTTCAGTTCAATGCCACCCTCACTGCTTCCACAGGCATTAAAGCCAGCCGGGTGCTGCTAATCAAATGTACCTGATTAACTGACCATCAGCAAGTGTGAGCACCTCTATAAAAACACAATTTTTGACAGTGTGCTGGTCTGGAACATTTGGGTGTGCGTTAACACAATGCCACAATATTCCCAATAGTGGACATCCCAGCATCACCCCAAGTTTAGACCAGGCAAAGCTAAAAAAAAAAACTGCATAAAACCCAAGAGCTACAGGTTTGACCCTATAGGCATCAATTAGCATGTTAAAGGTTAATGTTCATGACAATGTAAGTAGAAACAGACAGAATAAGTATGGCTTGTTTGGAGGTGCTGCCAGCAGAAAACCTCTTTTTACTATATAACAGCATAACTTCAGTTTAAGAAAGTTAAATTAAAAAAAAAAAAAACAACCCAATGCTTCTGGAAACTGTCCTCTGGAAGGACAAGACCAAAGATGAGAGGTTTGGCCATAGTGTATAGCACAGAGGCAAATCTACAACAGAATGGCTGAGAATAAAATGAATCGAGGTGCAGCGATGGCCAGTTAAAGCCTAAACTGATAATAAGGAATCTATGGCAGGACCTTAAGAGACATGTGCATAAATGAATGCCTGCAAACTTCAGTGAACTGAAGCAACATTGTAAAGAAGCCTGGGTCAAACTTTTCCCACAAAGATGTAAGAGATGGATAAAGTCATGCAGAAAAAAATTACTTTAAGTTATTGGAGTTAAGATGGTTCAATAAGCTACTGAATTCACACGACTGGGCATTTAAAGAAAAAACTGTTGCTTCAGCTTCAATTTATACTAAAAAATAACTACATGATTTTGATAGGTTTCTATTATTACTATTTACATTTGAATAAATAAAATATAATAAAACAATAAAAAATTATTAAAGTTATAGCAATATGTTACTTTTAACTAATGTTTTCCTACTAATTTACTAATTATTTATTCTTTGAGCCCTAACTTACATTTTGTGGTGTTTTTTGAATTTAATTTAATTTTGTTTCACCTCAAACATATAATGCTATTACCAATGCGACTACTCTTTATGAGGCATAATAATTTAATAAACATAAAAAATCAGATTCCAACTTAAATGTCGTCACTGTGTATCGGCTTAATGTGGGTCTTACTCTTTATGACAAATAGCAAAACAAAAATGTGCAGTCTGTATGTTTTATTGTAGAAGTATCACCGGCATGAGGGCATGACCTAAAACTCTGCATCAGTACAATTACAGATGCATTCTATCTTACCCAGCATGAAGTTTTTGATGTGCACTTTATGTGCGATTCAAATGTGTGGATTGAAGAACACACACGGACACAAAGAAGGCAGCTAAGTGAAGCAGGCGCCTGCCTAAAAACTGCAATAGTGATACTGTGCTTTTAGGGGTCAGCCAAGACATATTTAGCATTCACATCCCTCCATCAACTGGCAGACATAAATTTTATATGTTGTTCATTTTGTTACAATAAAATTGGTGAAGTGGATCCTGAAAACCTTTTATCGAAAATGGTGTGGCACAGAACCATGAAATACAAGTGCAAGTGACAGGAGTATGAATTCACATGACTTCACATTTTTGCATTTCCTCAAAGTGACAAGTAAACACCTTAAATCTGTAATGCTATATGCATAATGCATCAACTGTGTTTTGACATCCATCATTTAATGCTGACTACAGCAAAATGTCAGCTTATAGTGCCACCACCAAGGAAACATAATGCAGGGAATATATTCAGGTCACAAAGTTTTAAAAGGCTTGCAAATTCTCTCTGTGTGCGAGTGTGTGCGTGCCTTTCTGTCAAGAAACTCAATGAGCTGCTTACATTACAAAAGAGATCTTTCAGCCCTTTGCAACGGAAAAGGCACCAAATAGTTTAGTACACAGCGGGAAGCACACACTGAACTGAAGCATGGATAATCATAACTTTTGTTACACCAATTATTGAACTAGGAGATAGCAGCGGTTTGACACTTCAACCAGGGAGCACAGCTCAGATAGTGCAAGCATCATTTTGTCGATGTCCATAAAGGATGATGTTTACTCCACTGGAGAGTGACAGCAAGTTTTTTGGATTCTGCCTCTAAAACGCCGCGCTTATTGTATCATAGTGAACATGAAGACTGTGGGAAGATGTAGGAGAGCGCCTTCCACTCTGCGCAGCGCAACCCCAGAAAGTGGCGTTGGTGAGAACAGGGATACATGAGGCCTGCTGTAGAGCTGCTTTCAAAACCTGTTAGGTTACAAACAGCTCAAAAGTCGTTATGCAGTGTGAGCTGGCAAAATCCAAACAGAGAGCTGAGCCTCTACTGAGCACTGAAAAACAGAAGAGCTCAAATGTGTTTTTCATATGACCCATATGAAAAACACTGTTTATCTCTAAAGAAAGACACTGTTTATCTTTATAGACTAGTCTTGTGTCCTTGTGATTGAAATAACAGTATGCTTCTTGAATTGCCTAATTATACTTAAAACAGTCAATTTTCCTCTTTTATATGTTTTATATTAATGCTAACTTTTTTTTTTTTTAATGAAAAATGAAAATGATGCCCCAAAGCAAAGACGCTGGCTTTTGCTTTTGTTAGACTGTAACTTAGTTTATTCAGCTACAATCTACAATAGATGAGTGAGATCTGGGTTACATGCCCCCTTATCCCTGTAGCCCTGCGGGCACAGCTATGCTCTGTGGTTGACTACATGCTACAGCAGCCGGGAGAAGCTCTCCCCCAGGAAAGCGCATGTTTACTTATTCATTTGCACCTCTAAATTCCACAGACAGCGTCTGAATGAGAGCATCGCTAGGAGGAAGGAATCCTCACAGCAATACCCATGATACAATAGCAGCGCCTGGTTATATGAGTGTATTTTCTTATGTATGCATGATTGCATGTCACTGTGTTTTCTTAAATGGGCCGTTAAAGTAAGACCCGGTTATTGATAACGCCAGTCTCAAACCATTGGTTTGGGTTAGAAGACATAAACCTGCGAGCTTCTGGATGGACGTGGCTTTCTGCAAGTAGTGCTCCCCAGAGTGGACGCGCTCTCAGATTTACTCCTGCCGATTGTTGCTTGCTGGCACTATTATCGACAGCGTATCGCTCACACAGGCTGGAGAAGTAACTGCATCGGCATTCTAATAAAAATGTGGATATGCCCTCCATTACGAAAAGAAAAGAAAAAAAAAGGCCTCTTGAACCTTCACTTTGATTTGTATTTACAACAGTCGCTGTGGTGGCACTAACTGCTTACCTCAAGGCATGTAGAACCTTTCAAGCTAATCATAAACTGAGGATCACCTGTTTGTGAATGTTTGTGGATAGGATGCCTTGGCATGAGTAACCGAGTGTGTTACGCACGCAAACGCGTGCGCACGCTATGAAGCACTGAGGTGTGTGCGTGCATGTGTTGCTGTTTTGTTGTGACTAATGAGGAGCAGCTGAATTGGCCTGCCTGGTGATTTGTACTAGCTGCTTAATGATGATGAGGCCTGATGGGATGCCTGGTTTGTATGTTTGTCTGCAAACATCAACAATCTGTTCCAGACGATCTGCCAGACTCCAGATCAGGGGGAACAACATCAAATGACACAGTCATGTTGATTACATCATTAAAAAGTATTATCAAAGGTTTAGCAGCATCTAATTGCCAGGGACAAGACTGAAACCATCAGAAAGGCTTGATGAAGGTATAAACACAATGTTTCTGTGTGTGCACATCTTCAGTTAGAGTTACAGTAATGTCAGTTTACAGACGAGACTCAAAGCAGACTTTCAGAGAATTTCAGTTATGAGCGCTTAGCAGACTCTGTGCTCGACAAACTACATCTACCCTTCCTGTCTTTTCCTTTTCCATTTTTTGACTACTCTCCTTTCCTCCCTCCCATAACCTGTCCCCTTTGGCCAGGAGTGTACATGGAGTCTAATGGGACACTTCTTACCTTGGGAATTAGCCTGTAAGACCCCAATGCTGTCATCAAACTGCATAGATTTGATGTTGAGTGTTGCCAAGATGCATTCCTTATCCTGCAGAGACGCATCTTCGATATTGTTCTGATTGGCTGACAGTATTACACACATGTCGCAGAGGTTGATGTTGACAGCCCTTAAATCTGCCCGACTTAATGGTGTACCCTTCAGGGCGAGGGGAACACAGAGAAAGAGCAAGACAGCGAGAGAGAGAAAGCAAAACACAGAGAACAGACAGACATGGGGGAGAGAAAAATAAATTTAAGAAGTGAGCAGAGTGGGGCTGTGGGAAATTAGTTAACAAGTATTCTTGTTTTGAGGCGATGACATTCCACTGATCTAACCGGGCGTTGGAGATTCAGAGACATGGACTAATCTAAAGGCTAGCCTGCGCTGAGGGCTGTGTTTGTGATTCTCCTCTGATCATCAGTCAAACCAGGCCTAACAAGCTCTAAGGCAGCAAGCCACGCCATCTGTGATGGGCACTGCAGCTGCAACGCTCATAAACTCCACTTTGGATATGCAGGATGTGTCACTGCTAGGGATGAGGGAGGCTCACTGAGCTCTCATGAAGTAATCATTCAACTGAGAAATGCGCGATCAAACTCAAAATGACAATCGCTTGAAAGATTTCAGCATGAGTGCAACTTAAAATGTCAGCGCCTGCTAGTTGGACAGATATTCAACATGCAGGTGAAGTAGTACACTCACAGGTAAGATGGAGACCTTGGGGAAGTTGTGTAAAGTTTCCCACTCTCTCCGAAGGTAATCCAGCGAGCCCACAAAAACTATAGGCTTTAGCTCGTGGTAATGGAAGTTGCTGGCTCTTAAAGGCATCACCAAGTTTCGCAGCCCCACTAAAGCGGACGTGACATCCCCAAATATACAGACCACTACATGGCCGCTTAGCACTGTCATGGAGGCTTCACTCCGGGTCTGTAGGGAAGAGAGGGACACGGGGAAGGGGGGGAGAGAAAAGCAGAGAATGAGGAAAAAAAGCGAAGGCAGAAAAGAGATGAGGAGGCACATAGAGACAAACACAGGTTTACAGAATAAAAATGAGTGCCGATAACAGAAAACTGGGTCAGGTGCATGAAGTTAAAACCCCCCCAACATATCTAGAGTTTAAATGTGCTTAAAGGCATCACATAAACTGTTATATATCCACATGTAATCATTTATTAACCATGTGTTTGGTTTTATTATTAGCTCTTCATTAGACAAATTAAACACGCACGAATGTAAGCTGTAAACTGTTACATTCATAAAAAAGTACAGCTGCAAATTGTATCATATTTTCAGCTGGCGGCAAATGATGTTTATCTGTGTATCTGAAACATTTTGGTGAAGCAGCCTTCATATTCCCTTGAGTTGAGTGAAAACAGCACCTGGGTCACTCGAGTCTTAGACAAAGCAAAGATATGTCGTATCTTTACTATGCACAGTAGGTGACTGCGCCTCCTACTTGATCCTACACAAACAATTTATGCACTAACATAAATGCTTTAAACCGTCTCGTTAAAGCATCTGAGCAAAGTCATGCACCGAGTGTTGAAATGCTGCTCACTCATTCCTTGGTGGATATACACATATACTGTATATATAAATATAAAAACAAACTCACCTTGAAACAACAGAGAGGCAGTGAGAGAAATTTCAATACACATTAGTATGTGATTGTGTTACTGCAGTACTGAGGGGAAACATTTGCTCCTGAGCATACTTACTAGTACCTTCTTTTTTTATATACACTATTTTTCCCCTCACTGGGTAGCAGTTACAGAACTTTTGCCCCACTTACCAGGATGACTTTTTCGATGTCTTTTGAAGGGCACCAGTGAAACATCCCTGTCGAGTCATACCTCTTCACGTTCATGTCCATATTCTCAATTTGTTCATTTCCAGGAATTAGAAGGGGATCGTGTCGACTGGAAAAGAGAAAATATTTACGTTAGGCTGTTTTGTGGCAGAAGCCAGGCAGGGTTTCTTGATATCTGTGCTGTCTGATCGTTAAAAGTCCATCTCATTCTCAGAGTATGAAACTTTCTACTGCACTGCATAACTAGAATATCTTTCCCTCCAATCTGTCTCATCCCCTATGTAGAGGCATCAGAAAAGTCAATGACCCTTGTGCTCACTGTGGTACAGAGGAGAACAGCAAGATGTGAGTACTACTGACTGAATGGCATGACAACACAAGGCCAATTACCAGCTTTTACCCTCTCTTCCAGTTCCTGACGCCATGTGGCGCAAACAGTAAAAGCTCCAACAGGCTCGCACTTTAAATATTTCAGGAATTTGCCCAATCACATTTTGCTTTCCCAGCTGATGGTCATTAATGTTTCAGCAGCATGTCACAACCAAACAGGCTAATCCACAGCAGTGGGCTGCTGAGTTTTATCTGCTGTAACACTGACCATGAAAGGGTTCCTGTCAGTGTTGTTACGCTGCCTCTCCTGTTCTTGAACTTATTCTACAAGACATGTTCTCACAGCCCCTCTGAACACGGTCCAGAAAATGTCATCAAAAACACAGAGTCAAGATAAACGGCGGAAGTGCTGTTTTCCCACAAAGGCCCCTTGTTTTGCAGCAATGTAAATGTAGTTTATTGAGAATTTAAGAAAAATTATGAAAATTCAATACTGCTGATAGTCCTAAAAAAAGGGGGGGGGAAACTGCAGAGATAGACATGTGAGTAATATGGGAGAAAATATCTCAAGAATTTGACATACATCTCTCTCAGTATCACTCTCTCTATCCTCTATCAACACTGTCATTCACTGACAAGGCTTTGATGTTGTTTCTTCCTTCAACCTGCATTTGGATTGCATGCCATCGCAGGCAAAAGTTAAAGTTAAAGAAAAAAAAAAAGCTGTCAATTAGCCACCCTCTCTCTCTCCACCTCTCTTTCCCCCCCTCTCCCCTCTATCAGTTAGAGCAGGTGATAATAACACTGACAGCATTTAGTGTTTTTACACTCAGCCTGAATCTTTCATCCAGAGCCGCGTGTTGCGCCAATCAACTCCAAGGAGCCCCCCGTCACTTCAATCTGCTCAGCTCTGCTCGCCTCCACACAGGGGCTGACTGGCGCATGCAGACGGGCTGCCGCTCCACCTCTCACTGCCAAGACAGCTATCTTTCACAGAGCTGTCAGCGGTGTGACTGGCAGCCTGTCACAGGCTCCGCACACCTCCTTCCTCTTCCTTCTCCGCGCCTCGGGTTGAACCTACCACAAGGCTCAGGCAGAGCAGACATGACGTCTGTGCTACGGGGCCACGCCCAAGGGATATCAGCTGCAGATGATACTGTGACATCTTCTGCAAATGGATGCGTGTTGTCAGTCATGACCCATCGTGAAGGTTTGTGTGGGTGTGGGGTGGGATGGGATGGTGTTAGCGCCACGGCAGGAATGCGGTTCATTAGGAAATTTACAAGCTGGATTGGCTACTAATAAATTATTTAACACAGGGCTCCTAAATGTCACCCAAATAGCAAGCGAAGTGACAGATAAATGCAGATATTCTCTGCTGAGAATTTTCAGTCCTGAACAAGTAGATGCAGAATTACGTGAACTTTGCTTAATTTCTAGCATTGTACCAGAATGCAAACTAAATGTTGTGCTCGGTGAAATACAATATTTTATCAGATGCACTTTTATGGAGGACAAACAGTATTTCCCTTACAGCATGTCTCACTCCGGTGCCTCCCTCCCTCCCTCTCTGTCTCTTTCTTTCTCTCGTACCCTCTCCCTCAGTATATTTCAAACAGAGTTGAATTATTCCAGTGTATCACTCTGCAGTCACAAAGCTGGGGATGGGCGTGCTCCCCCAATCCCTCTCTGCCAGACTACGAAGGCAGCTTCTTGCTTTGAAAATTTTTCCCATCATGCAAACTGACAAAGGCATGCTTTTCAAAAGCCCACAGCCAATCTGTTGATCATTATTTATTTACAAAGGCCTTCAGGCTGCGAGTCCTGTAAAAACCATACTTGATACGTATGTTCGCTCTCTTGCTAGCTCTCCACTGTATTTTCCCCCTTCTTGCTTGTTGAATAAAGTATCCCTAAGGCTACCTCAAACAATCACTTTTCATTCTGCATAAAATCCACCTCGCAAAGCACAACGGTTTATATAATATATATGGTCTTATATGTTGACAGGGGCAGCTGTGAAGGGGTGGAGGGAGGGACTGTGGACTGCGATGGGTAATTTGATGTTCTGCTAAAGGCTAATACTTGGAAGGAAAAAAAAGAAAAAGCTACACCTATAACAGAGGACCTGTCATCCCAGCACCCAAGAGCCAGCAGAATACAGAAGCAACCCTAAAGCAGAGAAAACTTTGACACCGCTTTGAAGCGTTTTCAAAACTGAGTAAATAACTCGCAAGGATTATTATCACTGCGAGATCAAAGCGCAGATGCATATATTACATGGCAAACGGGGACCGTCTTCTAAGCAGAAAAGGAAGAGAAGAAAAGGTTTTGTGCTTTAAGTTAGGCAAACTAAAGAACCTTTTAAAACAAGCAGTTATCTGGAAATGTGCCAGTGTCTCGTTGTTTTTGTAGCAGTTTGCTCCCTCTGAGCAAGGGCATCTGAGCTGATGCTCTGCTGCGAACTAGACTGAAGGGTATGACTCTGTGTTGGGCTAATGGTTTGGCAAGTGTGAAGGCTTATTAAGTGCTTGTTTTGTTGTGAGGGGGAGGCCGACAACTATACTGGACAAAAATCACATAGGCATGCCAGTGCAGTAGGAGGATTGCTGCCTGAGGGAAACTAGCAGGGCTAACGTACACGGCACTCAACCAGAATGGTACAGTAATAAGTGAAAACATTATGCAGTGTATGAAAGAGAACAAAACAGAACTACTTTGTATAATAGCTCATATTTATATTGATTTTATTTGGAAATGTTAACTATTCCACCTTAGAGTTTGCTTATTTTTTAAAGGGTTTAAATTCCATAAATAAGGCTAAGATTATATATATTACGAGGTCTCTCTTTAGAGTTCCTTAATGTAAACCCTCGCTCTCATTAGGAGACGAGCAGTGTAGCTATGAGTGTTTCTGTCCTGTTAGATCTTCGCCACCGTGCCTTCATCCCGCCGTCCCAACCCGCACAGCTCGGCCTCCCTGCATTTTCCTCTCAGTCGTGCGTCTAACCCCGCCTTGCAGTCAGAGGAGCACAAAAACCTACCCTTTTTATCTTTCAAAATCAATTAACAGCAGTTTAATTCCAAAGGACAGGATAAAAGGAAGGTAATATTTGAATTCATATTTGATTGTGACGATACATCTCGCATATGGCCTTAAGTACCAGATACACTACTCACTGGGGTTCCCACAATAGACGAGTAGCCCGAGGGCAAAGTAACCATGCAGGTCTCTCTGATTGGTTGGTGGTGTCATTAGTGCCAGCATTGTTTAAGGAGTACATGTGGACCAGAACGGAGGAGGTGACAGCTGGGTCTTTAAAGCCAGAGGAGTTTTCAAACGGCTCCTCACAGCCGCTTTTCATGACAGAAATATTATTTCAGCTCTGTCATTAACAGCTGACAGCATGCCATCCTAAACAGCCAGCACCTAACAGGGCATTTCTCTTCTCTTTTTCACTCACAGAGTTTCTTACCTCCCTCTTCTGCCACCCCTAATTTGCCCCCTCCCATCCATCCAAACTCCCACCATCTCACCATCAGCAGCATACGCCTCTGAAGTATCTCTCAGACACATACCCCCCCCCCCCCCTCCCCCCCCCCCATGCTCCCTCCCATCTTCCTTATATCTGTCTTCCTCTCACTCCCAGTTTGAAGGCTGGAAGAAGAATAAAATCAGCATCTCTTACCTCATCATTTTGGGCGAGCAGTTGGGTGAGTTTCGCATCCCTCCGTTGCGCTGCTTTTTTTTGGGCGAGAGCGTTGACGGATGCTCGTCTTCGACTGAAAACACATGCGCACAATGTCAGAGCAGAGACAGACGGTTCAGAAAGAGAGCTGGACCTGACATGAAAATAGGCAACAATCAATCAATCATTCAATGCAAACCACAAAAAAAAGAAACTGAACGCAAGAAAAGGAAAATTAATAATTCAATGTGTCAAAATGGAAGGGAAATAAAAATAGAGAGAGAAAATATTAGTAATGGACAAATGATTAAATCTGAAAAAAGCCGGAGGAAACCACGGAGAGAAAACAATTCCTGACCTAAAAGGAAGGTTTATTTAAAAAATAAGAATTTTTTTTTTAAATGTCCCCCATGTTGTGGCTATACTAAGGTGCAATATTGCACATCCTCCACTGACACTTCACTGCGTCTGTTCACCCACCGAACTCTGCAGGCGGTTGGACCTCTAGCAGTTTACATCCAAGTGACCATGCTTACCTAAAGCATTAATTGCAATGTGATGCTACAGACTGTTATTGTCACTGGGGCATGGGCAAAAGCAATGACAATGATATAAATACAGGTTATGGAGATGAATTTTGAGTGCGTAGTTGACTTCCTAATGAAACTACTTGAACCCCAACACTTGTGAAAACTTGTGTCGGATTAAATATACAGCGTCTTTGTTTCATGTTTTGCTGAACAATGCTGTGTTATTTTATAGTCCTCTTTTGTTTGTTTTTTTAAAGATTATTTGATCACATTTGAACTCGGTTTTCTGTCAGCCATGCTTCGCTAGGTTGAAAAAAAAAATCATCTAAAAACAAAAACACTGTTTCTGAAACTTTACTTGAGTCCCAGCCAGACAGAGAGAATGAGAAAGAGCAGCCGGAGTGAGTCCAGGCCCAGCTGTCTGAAGATTTCAGTCAAGCTAACAGTAGTCTGATCTTCTTCACTGTCTGTGAGTTTCAAGAGCTTTCAGACAGGCACCCAGATACTCTTATCCAATCTACGCTCTCCCAGCGCAAATGTCAAGTGCACCGTCACTTCAAACCCGCATTAGTCCTTTGGTTAGAAATCAATAACACAGCATGATATTAGTGCAAATCAATGTGCGCGCTGCAAGCCGCGGTTATTCCAAGCATGTTGAATTTCATTATTCTCTGAGCACCCATTCTATGCTGTCACCTAATTCTGCTAATAAAAGATAAGAAATATGGCTTTGCCTTCTAATAAAATGTCATTCTCTGACATTTCCTTTATGCAATTGGGCAATCAGAATAGCTAATATCACAAGCATTTTACACTTTACAAATAATTCTCTCTCTGATGTACTTTGAAAATACCACACAGCAGAAAGTATGCTTTCCTTGCTATACCATTTGACAAACCCCTCTTGGTTTAAACTTAATTTTTTAACATTAAAACAATTGAACTTTTTGCTTTCACGGACACCACGCTTCATTTCCCCACTACATAATGATATTAGTGCAAAATCCCTGAGCTCACAATACCTAGAGCCACTTCTGAAATAGCACGTTGTCTACAGTAAATTCACCTGTTTTATCCCGGCGCTTAAAAGTTATCTCATATAGACAGTAGCAGCCACTGCACTAGCAGCCAGATCTGTGCAAAGCAGCAGAAGAAACAACAGCAGCAGCTCCAGCAGAGTGAGCCGTCATGCAGCAAACAAGACAAAATGAAGAGACGGGACAGCATTACTGACTGATGCATCCCGCTAAGGGGCCAACCTACAGTGCCTACTGTGACTGAGCAGCATGGCATTACTGGGGTGGCAGCGGTATTTCACTGGCAGACTGCGGGCCCGGTTCAGTCGACTTTCAGCCAGGGATCTGGTCGCCACGTCTCCTGGACCCGAGATACTGAAGCGCAATTGCGAGGGGTCGTCCCCGGGCCCCAGCCGCATGTGGAGCAGGCATCCTTTACGGTTATTAACGAGAGGGATGTTGACTGTGCCAGGGCTGACCAGGGGGTCCTGGCTGGGGTGCAGGGCATTGGGAAGGAATACATTTGAGGTGATGGAGGTGGAGATGCAGCCGGTGGTTTTAAGTGTTCTGTTTTGAAAAGGCGGTCTAACTTCATCCGTTACTGTCAAATAGTGGAGAACAAAGAGTGTGAAAACGCCTGCTTTAAATACTCAGAAATGACTGAGAAAAGAAGTGTTATTGTATTTCAAATTAGATTTTGTTAAATAGATATTTCAGGGTAAATTCCATAAAACAATCATTATTTCACAGTATGTTAAAATGAATATCTGATCACTATTTAAGAAAAAATGCAATTTAAGTTTTGACTGAACCAGCTTAAAGCAAAAATATATTAATAATAATGTTAATAAATAAAGGCAGGAACCATGTAGAATTTCCTAAAAATAGTTGAAGCCTTCTTAATTTGCTTTTCATTTGTGTTAAATTCATTAGAAGCCTCTTAACTTTACTTCTCATTTGTGCTGCGCTCGGATAGAACAAAGCAGAGGCATGGCTTGGCTAAAGCCAGTCAAAACCAATTAGATATTGTCACTTCAAGTGAGCGTGGCACACCACAATAATGTCAACAAATAGAACTAAATATTTATAATATTATAAATTCAAAACATCTAATCATTAAACATGTATTGGATTCCTTTTGGATTATGTACACAAGTGTGATTTAATTCCGCATGAAAAATGTTGAAAAACAGAGCATTTGGAATTTTCACTATTACACTAAATCGCTTGAGTATGAGAATAAATACTCGCATATGTACCAAATATGTTCAGCAAGTCGTTTCACCAAACTCACAGAAACACACACTCACACACAGTCCATCTGTGGCTGCAGAGTCAACCCGCATGTTTGTATGTACTGAAAGGGTCATGGCACACTGTAGGAAGACAGCAGTGGGAGATGAGTAAAATATCTGGTTGCAAAGTTGACTTGGAGAGGCGGAGCCCTTTTCCTCCCTTTGGTTGAAGGGTGGTTGGTTGGTTGTTTGGAGGAGAGAGCATGCTTGGGTGGCCCTGGGCGATAAACAGACGTTTATCCCAGCCGTCAGCTGCCTCCTTGATTTACAGGGCGCCACCGATAGCTCCTGGATTCATCTGGCCCTTGTCAAACACGTGCAGCGTTACAGAGTGTTCACCCGCCCTGGCAGGTCCACTGTGCATCCTGAACAACCCAGACGGCAACTGTCCCTTCTTGAAATGATAATCACATGACGGTACTGTCCTGCATGCAAGCCTTATCAGATCGCCGTGACCCAATGTAAACTGGATGATGAGGCGGAGGAATAACAAGTAAAAATGTTTACTTTACTATGTGAGCTAAGCTGGCTTTGCCTTTACAGTGTTTGCTGCATGAGCGAGCTTTGTTCTTCAGCTGCATTGCAACTGCATGAAAGAGCTTTTTAAAGCCATGCATTGTGGTCTTTACAGTTAAAAAAGGGAAGAAAAAAAAACTTATGATTACTGCGCTTCCTTTTAGTTTGCTTAACAGGTGAGGCAGCCATTATTTAATAAAGGAAACCAAAAAAAAGCCTTTATTGTCAGTATGCCTAATAATAACAAATACATTTAAAATGTAGACACAAAGTGTTAGAGGTGACAAATAACATTTCAAAAGTGAAATGTATTCTTAACCAGTAAAATAAAGGAGGGGGGGGGAAAGTCATTTAACAATTATTTACCAAAGATTTACCTATATTGCAATCAGCTTTGAATCGAACGCCAGCCTCTTTATGGCTTCCACTGTTTCCTGGTGTTGTAGCGCCATCTGCTGCTAGATGCAGCACAATACAAAAAGAATATTTCATGGATCTACATAGTGTTATCAAACACAAAATGATCTCAGTACTTTAGTTTGCTGTCAAAATATGTTAAAATGATTTTATCATATTTAAGTTAAATATAAATAAACTGGATATTTTAAAAGAAACACTGAAAGTTTTTCAAAAGTTGGTTTCCTTTTTTTTTTTTTTTTTACAGTAAAAATACAAAAATACTTAAGCAAAGCATCGCTACTAAGAATGTTATATGACATGCTGAGGGAGCTATACTCTATACACAAAGCTATGGCAGAAGGACAGGGAAACACACTTACGTGATCTGACAAATCCGTTATACTTATATTTGGCTGGGGAGGATGCAAAGACAAGTGGCAGGTCACACACAAGGAGAGAGGGTGTAATGAAAGAGACACATTAGGAAAGACATCAACATAAGAGCCGTAGATGGAAATTAAATCAAATGTAAATCTGATGTTGTCTCACCAAAAGGTATGAGGGCACAAACCAAAAAATGAAAGTATAAATAATTAAAAATCACTGTAAAACCCTAATGGTGGCACTGATTACAGTATGATGTGATGGCACATAAAAGGCAGACAGATGAATGAAAGAACTGTCCATTCACAGAGTGAGCCATGCTTTTAGGAAAGTGTACTACACCTGTAATGAGATGTAATGACGGTCTAATGGCTGGTTTTAATACATTTGAAAAAAAAAAAGGAAAGAACTACATTACATGTCACATCATTTCCGTGTAGATTTAGCAATTCCATTTTTTCCCCATTTTATAATAGAGTTTCGTGGGGGGTTTTTATATCTAAAAATGATGGGAAGTGTGAGGCGGAACAAATAAAGCCACAATGGGAAATAAAGAAAACGAATACATACTTCAGTGCATGTATAAATCCAAAACAGACAACAGCTGCTCAAAACAGCTGCGCTAACAGAGCACTAATGCATAGATACCTGATTTTTGCATGCAGTCCAGAAGTCTTATACAAATAGAGATTTTAAAAATTAGGGGGTTTTTTTTCATAACTTGAGCTCAGTGCACGATCTTTGGGGTTGTACTTTTAAAGGGTTCACAAAGGTCTCCACTTTTGCCAGTGCAGTTAATTCTCTGGTAATTACAGTTTTTGACCTTGACCAAGAAGATATTAAAGACCGGTACCACTAGAACTACTAATGTAGTAAGCACTTGAACTCAGAGCTGCTGACACTCCCCACTCTCTCCCAGAGTATCTTCCAGCAGTAAAGGTCACAGTGAGGGCCCAGGGCTGGCCTATGACACAGATCCTCAAAAAGAGACCCACAGTGGCCCTGGCATCTGTCTCTAGCAATCTGCCCGCACCGCAAAGGCGGCAGACTAACTGGCTAGCATCTGGGGCATTGCGAGGCGGCGTAGGACAGGGTGGGTGGGGGAGGGTGGTCGAGGGGGTGGAGGTCTGCCTGGTGGACAGGAGCTGTCAGGGCAAGTTTGGTGATGAACCAGCAGGGCTGGGAAAATGCAAACATAATTTCTGTGTCAGGATGGATAAGGTCCCCAGCAATGAGATGCAGATTCACACACATGCATAGACACCGAGATACAAGTGCATGTTGTTGCGCACACAAGATGTGCACATGCGCACATATACACAGCCCAGAAGGTTGTGGACAAGCCGAAACCATCTCCCTAACCCCAGGCCCACATCCCTTGTCCAGAGCTTAGCAAACCAAGTTGAAACCTCTTAACTGACTAAAGATTTTCTAAAATAGTGAAAGTCAAGTCACAAAAAAGACTTGTTTCATTTACAGACAAAAAAACCTCTTGATGTAGCCAAAGAATTTAGAATAAAGTAATATGTTAACTGCCTATAATAAAAAAGAACAATGGAGAACTACATTTTTCTAACCACTTCATCTGCATACATATCATTACTCATTTAATGAGTTTGTGTTAAAAGTTGCCATAATAAATATTGTATTAGTCGTTAAAGCAGTTTACAGTTGTATACTTCTGCCATCCTAACTTGCTGATAGCTGTCTGTGCTACACACAGACATGTGGCCCTAATTTGGCACGTGTAGGAAAACAGCAGCTTAAACGAAGCAGTGCTATCCAAGAGATCAATAATCAAAGTGCAAGAAAAAAATTAGTTCAGAAGCGTATGAAGTCATCGTGGATAAAGATGTCTTATCCTCTCAGCCTGGTGGAAAAAAAAAAAAGAGGAAATAGGGAAAGGAAATCCAACAATCCCTGACTGACAAAGCCCAATGCGCTCCTTCACTAAACTCACTTTGTTCAGATGAAGTCAGGGTTAAAAAGAGAAAGAAATCTAAGACAGAGGAGGCTTTCCTGAAATCCTACAGGGGGTTGAGGGAGAAGTGAGATCAGTAACCATGTAATGGCCAGTAATTGGTACCGAGGGATATCAGCGCAGGCCCAACTACAAGAGGCCAAGCCAAACTCATCATGGCATGTTTGACACTAATCTAGGCTGAGTCGGCAGACGGTGGGAGAATGTTGAGAAGGAAATCAGATCTGTATGTCTGAACCCAAGGCTTTGATAGCTAGGCCTACTGCTGCCATGTCTAATTGACAAACAATTTAGTATTTCCCATCCACTCAAAAGGAAAACAGATTTAAGGCGATCTTCTAGGAGCCTCGGGCCTCTTACCTTTCCTTTATCAAGCCAGAAGCACTTTTTATAGTTTCCTTTTTGATTTTAATTTCTCCTTCTCTTTTCTGTTCCTTTATCTATTTTCTTGTACTCTTCCCAGCTACATAAAGCATTCTTTTTCTCTCATTTGATTTTTTCCTCCTTCCTATTTCACTGCCACGTTCCTACCGTATAAATGTGACAAACTATCAATGGCTGCAGGACAGATGAAGTGCAGGAAATACAAGTCTGAACAATACAATTAATGTGGGGGGGAAATGCATGTATGTTTTCTTAACCGTTGCATAAGTAAAATTTGATTTCAGTTCCATTATTATCTGTGCCCTGCTCATCATTTTTAAGACCTGGCAAGATGATAGAGGCTTAAACGGTATTTCATTTATGATTCATTTAAAATCCACATGAAAGCAAAGCCAAAATCTTAGTATAGTTTCTCATCAAGGTTAAAAGAAAATGCAGAAAAAAGCAAAACCTACGTCAACTGAAAAGTGTACAAACTTAAAAAAGGATTAACTCAGAGGTTTGAAAGAGTCTTCAAAGTAAATGTACAAAAGGCACAATTAACAAATGTTATCATTAAAATGCAGAATAAAATCTTTCATTTTTGTGTATTCAGACATCTTACCTGAAACAGTTAAAAAGAGACATAAAACACCACGCTCCACCAGTGACATTATCACACGACTGCATGACTGGTGCCGCATGCGGGAGCCACATGTCTAACATCTACAGTACTTACAGCACCACCACTGAGCCACGTCACCACTTATCAACCACACATACTATAAATCAAAGAAAATCTAACCAGATATAGAGAAAGAGAGAGATAGATACAGAAAAAAAAATAAGATCAATATAGAAAAAAAAAAGTAAAACAACACAGAAACACATAGACCACGGGTACACAAACAATGGGGTCACAATAAACAAATTACACCTCACGCACGCACGCACACACGTACGGTATGGTACACGGTACGATACACAGAGCACACACCACAGACACGTAACAGCATGTGTTGGGCGGTGTAACTTACAGGCACGTAAAGTGGTTGCGCAATCATGAACAGAGACAGAGGAAAGTGGGTAGGCCCTCTGAAGGGTGTCCATGTTACTATGTACACTGCCTGACATGCAAGAGCAGTCTTGCTCTGAACGGCCGCAATCAAAACAACATGCCAGTTTCATTCGTTTGTAGACGGACATCTTGGCTACAGTCATGTTTTGGGATGAGAGGAGAGGAAAAGCAGCAGGTTAATGGCAAAAGGAGAAATATACATCTAGGGGAAGTCGGAAGGTAACTTCATCAGAAAGTGCAAGCCTTAGTCACCTGCTCCCACAGGCTTGAGCCCCAAGTTATATTAACAAACTCCAAGAGTTACAGTTACCTTAACAAGTCAGCTGGCACATTTCATTTTGCCATTTTAAAAGTGTCTCTAAATTGGACACATTATCTATTATTATAATATTATCAATTAAAAATACAACAGTCATAATGCTGGTGATTCTCTTAGGAGTTCAAGCTGTGCGCTAAGGCTGTAACAAGTCAAAAAGGCAAAATTATAACAGTGGGAAAGAGAGGTGGGGAGAAAGGGAAGAGGGTAGGGAGGCATTCGGGGAAGAAAGGCATGAGCAATGTCTTCAGCAGCAAACCTCATACAATGTTTCATACATTTGTACATCCTCTATCCATTTGGCTAAAGGAGTGGATCACGTACCTGTATCCCATCATGCAGCTGTAGCGGTTCTGTCCAAGGCATCACACTAGTCTACTGGCTAGACTGGCTAAATCATGCTATATTCAAAACCTGCAATTTCACTGCTCCACTCCCCAAAGGGACTTCACTCTGATGTGCATGTGCTTAAACGGTATTATTACACGCTAAAGTGTTAGTTACACAGTTGTTGTTTTGATGTAATTTGAAGTCATGTTTGAAGATACAAATGGGAAGTATAATTCACAAGAAAATGAAGAAATAACCATTAATTTGATCCTCTACTTAATATCCCCAAATTATCAATTGTTTGCAGTGTGCCTGATTTTAAACAGTTTGTACCTGGGAAATTCTGAATTTCCGTTTAAAGAATTTATCTAATGTTCTCCGTATACCATAAATTTATAACCATTCACGGGCCATTATAATACATGTAATTTTGTCTTTCAACCAACCAGCAAAACTGGTTCCCAACTAGCGTTTCCAACATACAATATAAAAGCATTTGAGCATTTACATACACCTACGTTTTTGTTTTTTTCAAGCTCGCTGTTGTGTGCATCAATTCAGCACATACAGCCCAGTGAATCTTTCAAATGGTTCCAGTCCACTTATGTTTCTTTTCAATCATCGCCCAAGTAGAAAACAGGCAAGATGACGATCTGGTGTGCTAATTAAGTAAAAAAGGATGTAAAAGTAGCATTACGCCAGACAAAAGTTTTAGCTACAAAAGTCAGCCTACAGCCAAGTGTATGTGTGAGTGGTGTGTGAAGCCCTTGAACCCTGAGGGAAGCGGGAGTGAAAGTCCCCAGAGTAGCATCTCTAGATTGCTGTGACTCTGGACAGAAACAGTCCCTGGTCCCCATTCTCTCATTGCCAAGGTGTAAACAGACAGCAGACTAATACTGTCTGGCACCTTTCAGCATCTTTGACTCTGACTCACATTGGAAAATAAGACCTTGAATGAAGTAATATGTTTTCAGCTCCTGGCCAAGGAAAGAATGGGAAACACAGATCATATCCCATAAGATGAATGCATCAGGGACTGCTGTATCCTGTGACATGCATATGTGCCTTACTAGCATGTGGAAAGCATGCAGGAAATGTAGCTTAAGTCCTGGCAACAAGGAGAAGTACACAGATAACTGTTCACAGTAATGAAACAGTTTTGGGAACATGGCGGACAAGTGCAGTGAGGCCGTCAGGTCATGCTGAAGTTTCTTTGCTTCGGTGTTTTTGTTTGGGCGCTTGGAACATATTATGTGGGCTCACTGGCAACTTTATTAGGTACACATGTGAAATCTAACATAACCTAATACAACAGCTCTGCTGTAAACTCTGCTTTTACGAGGCTTCTTTATTTTTTAAGTAAACGTGAGTTGTCACGTTCTGGCCTGTAAACATGTTCAGTCTTTAACCCTCTTTGCATGTAATCAAGTGGACAAATGGAGTAAGATGAAGAATTGAAATAAAAGTAGACTCTATGGCAGAGCTGTTGTATTGGTCTGCATTTAGCGTCACAGGTGTACCTAATAACAGCAGCCCATGAGTGTGTATACCACAATGTAGACTTCTGACAAATGGAAGGGGAGCAATGGAAGACTGAAGACACATACACGCACACACGCACACACACAAAGACAATGTATTTTACTTCTGACTTCACAAATACCTAGATTCTGGTTTAGGATGACAAGGTGTCCATTTCAGGGCATTCCTAACTGAAGATTCAACATAACAGCGACCCTGATCAACTGTCTGTGTGGGCTTGATTGGCTACTACTGCCTACAAACCACTAATATTCTGTAAACAGAAGCTATCAGGGTGCTACGTTGAATATGAAGGATGTCCCACAGAAAGCAACATTCTGATATCCACCTAAAGCCTCCTTATTCAGCAACAGTGCAAGGAAAAAGATTACTGCTGGCTCAAGAGGTGAACCTTTGAGCAATAACTAACAGAGAGTGCAGTATCCTGTCAGAGTGGGGCACATAAAAGTGGACAAAACAAATACTTTTTTGCTTGAAAAAGCCAACTTTGTACACAAGTGCACACCCCTCCCCATACCCTGCTTTATATTGTAACATATAGATATAAAAGCAATGTGAAATAACATGTTAAGGATGATAAATCTGTAAAGCCGTACAAACTGATTTATTATCCTAAAACAAAAAGGCACCCATCTGATCCTTGCAATTTTGTTGAACAGGTCTCAGGGGATTAGAGTTTCCTCTACAGACATCACCATTTAACTATGGATATCTATTACCGCACAAGACTCTGGCACGGCACTACCATCTAGTGGGAACTGAAAATTATGACAATGCCGCGTATTAATCCTAGACTTGTCTCCCAGTAAAGCGAGTTAAACAAAATGGCCCAACGACAGTCTGTGTTTGAAAGGCACAAGGCTCGTGCAGTTCTGAAAAGAACCAGTGATCTCTGAAACATCAGCCCAGGCTGGGCCAGGGCCCGGAGTTTATAAAGGGGCTGAGATCACAGCAAAGGGGGGTAAAAGGGGAGACCAGATTGTTTTGATTGTGTTTTGGCAACGTAGCTTAACAGGATTTGAAGAACATCCCAGAAGGACGTTTTCTGCTCTCTGCCACACAAAACTACCTTTGACAGAAAGCAGATCATTTTAAATAGCAGTAGATCTTTCCCCCGTGTGTTAGTTCCTCTAAATCTGTTTTTAATGTACGACATCTCAGATTTTTATTCTTCTGTTCTTTCTCTGAGCAAATACACTATAAAGAGGTTAATCACATGTAATGACACAAGACTCGCAGCAGATTGGCTTTTAAATGCCAAATACGTGTTTGGTTTGATGATCAAAGAGTGAGCAAAAACTGCACACCTCATCGGCCGCATCCAATCGTGTAGCGCTTTATTTAATTGTCATCTCCAACAAATCAGATCAGCAGCCGGCTGAGCCTCTGAGGAGCAGAGGCCTGATGCTGGTGCGAGTTCAATATCTGCTGTTTTGGATTCAGTTTGTTCTGAGCACGGTGTAGAAATGGGAGGCGAGGAGAGGGATGCAGAAGCTACACCGGTAACATGCAACATAGATACAATATACTATTTGCTGAAAAGGAAGAGAAATAAAAAAAAAACAAAAAAAAAAACACTTGCACTGCACTCTGGGTAATTAGACACCCATTTTCATTTTACTCACAATAAATCACTACCAGTGAGTAGTTAAAATAAAGTGGTGTTTTCCAATGGCAGCAGGGAAGGAAATACATCAAAAGTGTGTCACTGGTCATAAAAAAACATGGGAAAAAACAACAGAAGAGAACAAAACATGACAGAACAGAACATACAGTTGGACAGAATCCCATTACAGTAATGGAACTGTCATCTTTTTAATGCAACTCTCTTGTCAGCAACAAATGTAATAAGATAAAACATAACGCCATCAGCTGAGTCTCAGACATGAAGATAGTAGGAAAGCAAACAGAGGTAAATAGTTGTGGTAAATAAAACTAGAGTGTGAAAAACCTGTTGATTCTATTGAGTTGACAGAGCAGAAAGCGTCTGAATAATTGAAATGGCACAGACAAAAGAAGGAACTGGAGGGTACCTATTTTAAAACCAGGCTATGTCTGTAACGGACTGCTCACCGTAACAGCCTGTGACCTTTTATGGAAACATAGAATATTAACCTGAATTATTTATCCATCAGCTAACACATTCTGACAAGTGTCGCCTGCACATAGGTCAGGATGTATTTGCGTGCATTTCCTGCCTTAATGGTAATGTTGTATCTGCATAAAACATTCACTGATTTGATGTGGGTGTTTGCATAGCTAAATTAGAAAATTAACAGCTAGCAACCCTATCCATAACATTTGTGACCTATAAAACAATTGAGAAGAATGAAACAGCCTTAAAATATTTCACTGAGAGCATTCATATGTAAGTAAGAGGATATGTTTCCTAATTCCTCCACCAAGCTGAGGCTGAGGCACAGCATGTGATCAGTACTCAGAAACTACCAGGCTGAATTTCATTAAACTAGGTGAAGCAGGTAAAGCACTGGCAGAACCTGAACCCATCCTTTATAATTGCAACATAGGGCACTTGGTGGATCTGCTCTACTTTCTAATGTTTCAAATGCGATACAGAAACAAGCCTGGTTTAGACTCTTACGCTTTCTACTTACATGTTAGCACTTTGCATTTCATTCACTGCAATACAGTCTCAGTTTGTGCAAATAAAGTGGTGATTCAGTGGTTAAAGCAAGATGAATAGACATTTAAAGATGGCAACAGCTACATTTTGACAAAGAAACAAAAGTGCTTTGACTTATGATCATACTATAATGGAGGTTATGGAAGCTCAAATGGGACCAATAACAAACACTTTCCCTAAGAGTATAATGGCAATATAATGTTTAAAACACAGATTCAGAGTACAAGAAGAACAACAACACAATGAAAGGCATAATAACCATGTGCACACCTATGAATAAAGAGAAAGACGAGACCCATAGGTTGGTCTTTGGAGTGAGAAGGAAGGGAAGGAAGGGTGCCAGTGGGGCAAAATAAAGGCACAGCTACTCACGTCGCTTGCAGCCGCACTTCTTGATCCGTTTGGGGTCTGTGATGTCATCATGACAAGCTTTGCAGTAGAAAAATGCTCTAAAAGTGACAGGGTAAACATGTTTAGCGCTCCTATTCATTTGTCAACTGACACGGTTAGTGACCCCGCCGTTTGGCAGGATGGCCCAATTACCTTTTTACTTCTTTGGCATCACTAGCGATAAAAAATCCCAGTGTTCCCTCCTGCAGCTTGACATGGTTGCCCGGGTTGATGAGAATGCTGGGTAATCAAAGACATACAGACAAATAATGCTCATTAACATCTGGACATACACAAAATTCATGCACACAACATGCTAATCAAGAGGAATGGTACACACACTTGTTGAAGCCCTAAAATTGAATCTGGACTTTGCCGGGCTTCCTTTTTTGCATCATTTTAAACACATTATCCTTCCCTTTGTTACGTGTGTCTTGTAAGTTACCACAAACACACTTGCTCCTTCTGATTTGAGGCAATTTACTGATGCGATACTCACATGGATGGACAAAAATGTACAACAGTAATGATCGCACATTGAATTTTAATTCTTTTCTCTACGAAGTGGCATTGGATTGCCCCGGGGGTGGAAGAGAAGGACAGAGAGATACAAGTAGAGGGACGAGGGCAGAAAGAATTAAAATTATGGCCATGGAGTGGTTTTAGTCTCAGCACTCAAATGCAGTCATCTAGTCAGAACAGATGTTATGATGTCCACTGAGACACGGCTGTCGTACAGAGAATGTCCAGTAGGTGTATCTCAGTTAGTACTTGACAGTGGAATGCAAGGGAATGAACAGCTCTTTCTGTTTATTATACTGAGCTAATTCTTACAATTGAGTCTGCTCTAGACTCTGCTAGGGGAAAATAAGACTGGTCCAAATGTGTTGCTCCATTACAAATACTTGTAATGCATGTCTAGCTAAGTACAAACTGCTTTAATCATTTTCATTATATTTTGATTTAAAAGAAATGTGTTACTGTAATAAATAATAATTACTCGCTTCTTTTGTGATAAAGTGGGATTTGGTTTAATAGTCAAGGGTACTTTAAGTGATTGGCTGTATCATTCCCCATTAATTAGACTAAGACAAAAAGTAGACGCCACACACAAATATGCACACACACACACGCACACACACCCCGGTCATTAATGGTTACCTGTGGGCAACAATCATCAATGAAGTGAGTGTGAAGTAAGATATCAAAACACTGTACCCACAAACCTTTAAGGGTCACTCTTTCAAAATACAAGCCCAGATGAAAGATGATCTTGATTCTTTTTTTTTGTCTCATTCGCTGCTCTGTTTACATTTTAAGCTTTTGTAAATTTGCAACATTGATAAACGAGAAAAGCTCGACTGATTGTGTGTTACCAACTTGATTCACACTTACGCGTGTAATAACTATTCACGGCATTTTAGTCATTCATTTTGAAAGAGTATGTGAGGTCTAGATTCGGGGGAGAAGGGAACAAGTATATTATCGCACAACATCTTTCCTCTGAGCTCTGGAAAAAGGTTACATTAGGGAGGAAATTAAAAAAAAACTATTAAGGGAGCAATTGAATCCATATACATATTGGGATGTGATCAAATTGCACCAGTCATGCAGATCAGAATTTTCTTTCCATACTGCAAGAAGTAAAATAGCACCTAACATACGCTCAGATTGAATGGCCCCCAGAGAAGTTAACAGGCATTATACCTGGCATGCTTTTTTAGTCAAAAATAAAACAAAGAAACCAATCAAATCAAGACAGTTCCACAAACATTGCTGCCCAAATCTGAGATTTTACAGGTGTAACTATCCAAGACATTTTTCTTGAGTCGTGTGCAAACTGGTGAATAAAAGCCAAGAAGACGCATCAAAACCTCATATTGTGAGCAACAAGGCAAGCATCAAACACTTTATGTGATAGTGTCGTAGCATGCAGTTACCAAACAGTATGAGGAGGACAATAATAAAACAGAAAGGCATAGCCACTGCAGTACAGGTATAGGGACAGGTACGTAGATGCAGACGGTTGCAGTAACTTCTGTGCAGTTGGATTGTTTCTCAAACACCAAACTGACAGGAAGTGACCTCACTTAAGAACATCTACTCGAGAGACGCACGAGCATGACTGTACACGGTGGCTGAGACGCACAAAACTCCGCACTCGCACACGCACACACACTCAAAACACAAACTCTCCCTTCCGAGGTGATTGCACATACGCAGACGCGCATACATGCACAGATGGATACACATTTGGGAATGAGGACATGAGAGGGTGATGGGATGCAAGAGTGAAATGTGGGCCACATAAATAAAACTTCAGTTTGGATAAACCCAATGCTATCCAAAATCAACAGCTCCATGCCTTTTCTAGTGTCTTAAAAAAATCATGAAAAAACAAAGATTGGTGAGGTGCTGCTGGTATAATAAAACCATGAAAAACAACAACAAAAAACATACTGCTATATCAATCACCGCCTACAGCAGTGGCGTGTAATCAGTCATTTTATTTAAAGATTATATCCAAAGTTGTAGGATATCAGTGCCTATCAACACCATATCTGATGTCTGAGATATGCATACAGAAACTCCTCACTGTACTGTTCTGGTGAAGACTTTTAAACACCGATGAGTGGAAAACGTGGCTCGTCAAAGCTAAGAAACAGTAGGGTAACGACTGAGCGACACTGAAAAAGAACTGAAAGTGTGAGAGAAAGAAACTAAAGGAGCAAAGGAGTTTGCTTGAGGACAAAAATGAAAAGATCAAATAAGAGGTAGATATGGAGAGGGTGAGTGTTTGGCCTTGGTACAGCGACAACAGCAAAGACAAAAAGAAAAAAGAAAAGAAAACAGCACTTCTACAAACATGTCCAATTTATCTATCCTCTCTCTGCCTGCAAAGAAGTTAGTGCATTAAGCACAAGGGACACCATAAAAAGGAGTTAGAAAAAGAGGCCTGTGAGATAGTGTTTGGAAAAATATCCTTGGGGAAACTCCCAAAGTCAGAAGCTTTAAAGTGGTGACGATTGGGTGGAACTTTGGAAGTAAGATAAGGTAGAGGGCATACCGCTTTCGGCTTCTGCAAACAACAAGAAAAAATCTCAAATCAAACAGTTATCATGAATATAAAAGAAGAGGAGAATATAGCTGTTGCTAATGCTTCTCTGCCCATTTACAAGCTATGCTTTCATTATATGGCAGCGTGTGATGCAACTTTGTCTTTGTCTGAGGGCCTTGCAACTCAGAGTCATAAAAATGAAGAAAAAACAGTGTTTGAAGTTATTCATCTTTTACAAAAAGTACATAGAGGGCAGAGAATATGTTTAATAAAAGGTTTGAAAGTATAAATAAAATATTCTAGGGTGTCACTATAAAATGTACAAAAAGAAAAAACGTAAAAGAAAAAGCTCAACTACCTTGAAAGTGATTGGACCATTGACACAATTTAGCCCACTGGGTTATATAAAGTGTATTCAATTAGTATCAACTAGAATTTACATCATCTTTAATTAACATTAAATTAACCATGCAACCTCGTTAGTACACAAACATTTGACACAGGTGAATGGGGAAGGGTGAGTGGGATTTGGCAAATTGAGACTACTGAAAAAATGCATTTTGTGTCGTTATTGGTGATAAAACCAGCACTCATGTAGAGTTAGTGATAATCATAAAGACAGAGCAGGAGCACAGTAAAAAGTGCAGGAGACACATTATGTGAAATTTAAACGTGACGCAAATTTGTTATTTAGGTGTGAAGTTTGTCTCTGAAAAAGGACCGTGAACATGAAGTTAATCCAGTGCAGTACCTAGTACTTCTCTGAAACCAATCACAGTTTAACCACATTTCAAGTTTTTTTTGTCCTGCATACCTGCAAGGTTTACCTAAAAGCTTGTGACCCGAATCCTTGGCCAATATCAATCCCATTTATTTGCTTTTTAAAGAGGGTAATAGCTCAGAAAAAAATAAATACTGAATTATTTATTATAGGGAGTACCTCATGGTGACACAATACTGCTCAAGTGTTCACCAAATTGATCTGAAAAATGAATATCAACTGCATAGATAACAAGCTGCAAAGAGGACTTGAGAGGAAAAGAAAAATCGAGATATCTTATTAGAAGATCTACTTTTAGCAAAGTACAGTGCAGTTCACTGTTATCACAGCTGTATCAGATGCTCCGGAAAGATCCGCTATACCAACCTGCTCTCTCTCTGCTCAGACTTGAATTCAATGGCAATAAGCAACAGCTTCAGTTTCACGTAACACAGCCTGTAAAACAAGTGCACTCATTAGAGAAGAGCAGGATATAAGCAGATGACTGATGTGTTCAAAAACCGTTAAAATCCACAGCCTTACATCCCAACACTCCTCTTTTTTGTCATTCTTACTTTGCATTATATATATTTTTAAGCTACCTACCATTGAGAGTGGTCGTGTTGATCAAAGAGTGATACTTACTCGCAGACCATGGGGAAGGAGAGGCCTACAAAGGCACTGGACAAATACTCTGTGTACATCTCATTAGCCACTCCTTCAAGGTAATACTTCTGCCATGTGTCCTCCTCGATCTGATAAAAAAAAAAATGAAACAGGGAAATGTCACATGTGTTGGTTAAGAAAAAAAAGTAAGAAAAAAAAAGAACAGTTTTCCTTCCAAAAGCAGCCTAATCTGGTCAGCAGATGTCCCACTGCACAACATCAGCCTGGTCATTATAAGCTGATCTATCATCTTTATGACATGAGAACAGTTTTTTGATAGAAGCAAGCACCTCTTCAATTCTAAGCCGCAGAGAACACTGAACAGATTCCACATGACATGTCACACAATAAAATATGATGTGCCAGAATGACTGAAAACACACTAATGGAAGCCCGTCTCTGAACAGAGATGTCAATTTTTTTTTAGGGAATGCACTGTTTGACAGACCTAGTCCATGTGTCAGCAGAGAACCTTCTTATTTAGCCTATAATCCCTTAATAAATCACCTCATGTGCAAAAAATGCAATGTGAGAAATCATTCGTCAATAGTCCACTCTGTTACCTCAATAAAGGACCTCATGGAGAAGAGGTTGGCTAGCATTGTCGACAGACCCTGGGCCAGACAACTCTGCGCAATGAAGCCTGCCTTCAGCTCTGCCAAGCAGATAGCATCATCACCCTCCTTCCAGTTCCAGCTTGGAATATTCAGTAGATGGGCCTTCATCACATGAAAGTTAGAGAGGTCAGAAACACAGAAAACTGTATATATGAGTCACATTTCTTTTGGAACAGATAACATTAATACAACCCTCATATCTGCTTGAACTGGGAACTGGGTTAGCATAAAAACTGGAAACTGGGGTAAGCTAGCTTGGCTTTATGCGGTGGTATTGAAATCCAACATTCAGGATAACAAAAGTCCACTAATTAACATGATCTACCTCAATTAGTTCAAAGCTGAAATGCAAACATGTGAATGCAAATTAAATTAAACAGTTACAATAAACAGCCAGTTAGCTTAGCATACAATAAAATAAATAAAAACTAACTAGCTTATCCTAGAAATGTAGAGCTGTTCCTTTCCTAAAGTCAGCTAACTACTAGAAAAGTTAGCATCCTGGGTAAATCCCTTACAATGTACAAGTCTCAGTTAGTGTACCAGTTTCCATACATAAAGGGCATCATTCACAGCAATTTAAAAAAATATATACATATTTGCATATCTCCTTGCCATGTCATATGACAGATGCAGTGATTCAGACACACAATTATTAAATATAAAAGACACATTTTCAAAAGCTCACATTTTCTCCTGTAATACTATTTACCATGCTAAGTGCTGCTCTATTAATTCTTCATTTAAAAAAGTGAGGTCCATTCTTCAGGAGCATGCACAGCATGTAAGCAGCTGAGCGAGTGGATGCTTTAAAAAGTCACTTATATGTCAAAGTTACCATGAATCCTTAAAAGCACCACATAGCTCTCAAGCTGACAGGATTGCCATTTTACTGCAGCCATAATCTTTCTGTGAGGAAAGGTTGGAGAGCGGGCAAGATGAAGTGAAGCAAACATACACTACACAATGCAGGGCACCGAGACGTCTCACCTTATTGTGATACTGCAGCATCTGTGTGATTATTCTGATCTTGGGGTGATAGTTCTTGATGGAAATGACCCTTTGAAAAACAGGCAGATAAAGTGAGCAAGGAAACATAACACCTCCGCAAGCCAGTTATTACTGATTGTCCAGAAGAGAGAATACCTCATGATGTTGGAGGCATCTTCAGCATCAGGATCTGCACAATACTTGTTGGCTAGGATTAAGCAGGCATCTGCTGACTCGATCTATGTGTAGAGTACCAAAGAAACAAATATGACAACATTAAAGTGCACGTCTGTATTTAATAAAAAAGTATCCAATATACCAGATGGTTTAAATCTGCTCAACAACAACAAAAAAAGTATTTTCTTTCTTTCTTCTGTCCTGATATATTTTGGCTAAAAAATTGAAATGGATATCATTAGATTATCATTCTTCTGCATTTTTTCTTTACTCTCTTTGTCAGCTGAATTTATACAGTAATACGTTTATAGCCTGCTAATCAGTGACGCACACAACTGCAGCTAATCTGTGAAAAATGTTTCTACTCTTAAGTTCAACAACAGCTGTCAAAAATGTTAAGGATTTTCATTGCTCCAGGAGTCTCGCCACCAGCCGGTACCTTCACTCGGGCCAGATCATGAGGGTTGAGAACCGATCCCTGGTAGAACTCTACTTGGGTAAAATGGCGTTTGAACAAGGCTTCCAGCTCAAGATTAGGGGAAATACTAAAAAAAAGAAGATAGGTTAGCACATAAATATAGCTCCTATGCAATAGTTCGTTTGTTGCTAAGCTACAAAGGGTGAGAAAGACAAAATTAACTTACTTATGGAGAAAAACAATTTCTACATTGACATCATCCCTGTCCTTGTGTAGGAAGTCTTTGAGGAAGTTGGAGACACTTTCGAGGGTAATATGACCACAGACCACAATGTGCCTGAAAGAGGGAGGGGGGTGAAGAAATCATCTTGAGTGGGCAACATAAATCACTGCAGACACTGGCATGTCTCCCAGAGATAATCAGTCAAACCAAAGCACTCTAACATCTAACTCAAATAAAGACTGAAAAAAATATATATACACATGTCAAGAAATGTCTTTTCGAAGCAAACAACTAACCGAATTATCATTTTTGCCATAAAAGTGAATATTTTCCTCGATGCAATGAAAGTGGTTAAATTCTGCACGACAAGTACAATCAAACACTCAACTCGCGACCACTTGGAAAAAAAAAAAATCTAAGATATAATCACACAGCCCACAGTGGTTGGACTGTCATCCGTTCTCAATAAAAAAAAATTGTCCCTTCAGCCAAACCGCCCCTTTGTGAGCTGAATAGATGTTGACAAAGACATGTACATCAATATGCTTGTGCTTTTACACAGAGCATTACTAAAACTCTCAAAATGATTTGGAGGCCTGTGGTTGACAAGAATTGTAAACAGGGCCTCGGAGTTTTTGACAGGTCTCTGGCAAGATTCGGTAGTGCATTACAGCAGAGGGATCTGTCAGAAGCTGTACGGGGCTGATTACAGCCGTAAGGGAGTGAGAAAGGTTTGGAACGGTTTGAGGTTTGAGGTTGTGTCCCTGTTTATCTTCTGACGACAATATAAAGTGATCAAGTTCAGGTCAACTTCATATTTATGCCAACTTTATGGACACTCGGGGCAGTTTGGATGGACATTGTTCCAGCAAATAAACTTGTGGTGCTTCTGTAACTCGAATATTTTAACATCCTAAATCTAAGAATTCAAATATTGGTGTTAATAAAAAAAACATTGCCTTTATTTTACATATTTCCATTGCATTTTATCCTGTTATATTAGGTTATCTTACTACTTTATCTCGTTTTTTCTTCCTAATAAAGTCATAGTCATGGCTGTTGGTATTAAAGGGACTTTAAGCACGAGCATTCAATAATTCTGATTTAATTCAATCACGCTAATGTGGATTTAAAACCCTTCATAAGATTAATTTGCACTATGGTAAGCTGAGCTACTCTGCTGGACTTACTGCTAAATGTCATTTGTGAAGTCTTATTGCCAAGCCTTGCACAGTAAAACCCAGACCTAATACTGACATAGATTAGTGTGGACACTCGGCAGACACCCTAATTACCCTATGGAGACCTGTAAGGCAATCTGTGTAATGACAATGGCCTTATCCACCACTTGATGTGCCAAGAGACAATTGAACCACTTTAGTTTTTGAGTGCCTGGGTACTGGACAGCTTTGCACTTAACACAAGGTGTATTGAGTTACTTTTTCCAAAAATAAAGAAAAAAAATTGGTGGTCATATTTGTTTGAAGTCCAAGTTCTTATCGTGTACATTTGTAGGAGAGATTTCTATTATCAAGTGCTTACACAGAAGAAGGGAGTCGTGGTGAACAGACTGGCCTTTAAAGTTGATGTCTAAAGCTGTATAAAGCATTATTGAAACCTGAATCAGTTTGGCAGGTTTAAAGGGAACAAAGATATTTATTGATGTTAGATGAGAACCATAGTCCAGATCATTGAGTGTTCTTCTGCCCTGTACCTGAACTGATGTGGACTTGGCAAAGTAATGCGACGGGCATATTGAGGGAATGACAGTTTGTGGATGTTACAGGATATAATGTTCTTCGCAGATGTTGCGTCTGTCCTTTAAGAGAATCTAATGAGCGGTCGTGATTGCATGGTTGGCCAGAGCTGAGCAAAGGGCCGTGTGGTCTTACAAGCTGATGAGCTGGGATGTCTGTGGGCAGCCAGCAGTATCTGGCACAAGAAGTCTCTCATTTTATGAAATGTTAAAAAAATATTTTTTTAAAAAACCCACACACACACACAATCAGTCATGTTTTCCTATTCAAGTATCCCGATGCTCGTCCGAGGGTAGAGGAAGTTTAAAGATTTATAAGGCAAATTATTTGATTCATGTGGGTTCAATGGAGGTTGTGGATCTTAAGCACAAACTTGGAAGTGTAAATGCATCTCCGTGACATGTGCATTTTTCTAAATAGGTTTTTAATCAGGGAAGCAAACTTTTCTTCCACATCTTGAACACGCCACTAATTTAGGTCCTTATATTTAAGATGGAAATATTCACTTGATATCCTTAAAGGTTTCCTACTTCTACTTAGTTTCCCTCTCTATCTCTGTGCCAAAAAAGGCATCAAGCTGAATACCAAGATCATAAGCTAGTTAAACAGGACATGGGGGGAAGATATTAAAGATAATTCAACCATTTATAATTACCCAAAAACTAAATATCTCCCTTTTTAGTCAACCTGATTGTGCAGTACAGTTTTAGCTAGACATATACAGAAAGAATCAAAGGAAAACAAATAAACATAGCATTTAGAGGGAACAGGTTTCTTTCTTTTAACAAGAAACCATAGACAACAACTCAGAAACTAAAAAAAGGTGTGGCACAGAGTCACATTAATCAAATCCAATGGGTTTTACAGAGCATGCACACAAGAACATGCAGCCAGGAAACATCTCAGGATGTCACTGGGGATACACTTAATACAGCGAACAAACACAGAGCTCAAACGTCAGCAACAGAGGTCACTCACTTGGTACTGCTCTAATCCTTAGGGTGACGAAACTTACTGCAAGAATCATCTTTATGAAAATGTTGCAGTTTCAAAATCTGTGTTCCCTGTTTTGGTGTATCACCTTTCAGGGAACTTAAAGAAAGGGAGGAATAAACACCATCTCCTGTGTTTAATGCCAAGAATCAGCTAGGTGAAATGTTACCAACACTAGCCAATCAAATTAAGCTCACAGACATAACGTACTTAGTGCATTTTGTCATTGTGTAATTACATGAAATTGTGTTGGAACCTCAACTAGGTGCATGTTTTGTGAATATGCAAATACGTGTTAATTCCTGACACTGAAAGTCTCCGAGTCTGCACGCTTCAAGTTTGTAGCCTCGATGGAGGACTTTCAAAGTTGTGTGTCAGAGTTCAGCCAGGGTTGAAGCCAGTTTTCATGCCAAGTCCTCTCTTGAAGTTGGGGCTAATGGAAACCATAGAGTCATAATGGAAACCACAGAGCCCCGAGTGCAGTGGGCGCCAACAGAACGCAACACTTGTCATTATTATATCAGCGCACACAGGCTGAGAGCTGTCATTACGCTCACGGGTGTATGCTACACTACACAGAGTACTATAAGCAACGCTAGCATGAAACAGAAATCCAGTTCAGATCCAATCCAACCTTTCACTTCCAAATAAGTTTTGAAGGCCTGGTTCAAATGACAGCAGCCAGGCCCAGAGATGAAATGAGGGCTACATTTAATAAACTTCACTATGTATCATGACTTCATTGTTTGTGAGCTCTGTAATCAGGCAGATACGTGTAATCACCTAATCTTATTTCCAAGATTTGGAGGATTGTGGGCTGATAGCTGCGAAGTGATAATGCACTGAAGCCCAATGAAAATCCTAAATCCACATGGCAAACCACTTTTTCATTTGCATTACATCCTATAAGCACATATCCAAATGAGAATGTAAAAGAATGTAGCTACTCTTGAGTCTTTGATGAATATCTTCCAATTGTTACAATATGTTTGCACTCTAACCAGAAGGAGACATGGAAGGGGGGTGTGGATGGAGAAAATAAAGTGTGTTGGAGAAACTATCCACGATTTTGACAAGGGCTTCTCTCAGCACCCATCTGTGAGCCTGGGTTGAGGTCACTGGCCAAACATAACATTTCATCAATCTTATCTCAATGACAGGCAAATGTTACTGCACAAAGGCTTTTTTTCCCCCCTAACGTCTTGTTCTACTGCTGACTCCTCAGAATCTGCTCCGCTGAACAGAATGACTGAAACTGGTGGGGGTGAGATTGGAAAGAGAAACAGAGTGAGAAAGAGTAGACAGCAGATAGTAGCAGATGCTGGCTGCCGTACAAAATTAGAAGAAAAGAGACGGAGGACAATGAAAAGAGCACTTTCCCTGTTCTGTATACGCTCCTTTTGGATTAATTTAAATCTGTGTGCTGAATATTTCAAGGTTTGAGCCACAAGGAGGGAAGAGGAGAAGAGAACTTCACAATAAGTATTGTGGCACGTTTGTACAAACACTATAATAACCACAGTGTCACATATACTTCACAGTGTACTGGAGCCTCGGCTGCGAGAGGGCAGTCGCACATTTACATAAATATGAGAGCCTCCAGAGATAAAGTCCACCATCACCACCACCACACACACATAAGAGCCAGGCGGGCATCAACGAACCAAGCAGGCAAAGCAAGCCAAAAGCAATTGAAAGCCTCCAATGGGAACGAGGCATCCAGCATTCAGGGTGTGGGAGCTGACTGAAGATCAGGGCCAGAGTAATGTCAGGCATTGATGATGCGATGCGCTAGCAATGACAGACAACAGAAGGATGACTTTATCATCCATTTAGCAATTAATGACAAAGCCACAAGACTGCAGGTCATAGAGAACATGCCCGATATGATGCAGTTAAGGAAAAAAGTAATTCCACAAAGCATGCAAAACGAATTCAAGCAGGGAAAAAAATGCATATAATAATTTAAAAAAAGCAAAAGTAAAGAGAAAAACAAAAAAACAAGAAAAGAAATTGTATCCTGCAATGCTCATTGAGATTGATGATTCTTAAAAAAAAAGACCACCAATAATAATGCACTTGCAGATGTTTAAATCTTTCTATTTTCTTGTGAGAAAATGCTTTAAAAGCGGATAGTAGGGATTTCATGACTGTTTTGTTGCTTTTTGATTTGGATTCTAATTAATCCCTGTAGGCTAGCCTGTATTGATGAGACACACTGGGCACACGTTACATTAAATAGAAGCACCACAGGTTAGTTTCCTGTTAGGCTAAAGTGTAATAGTCATGAAAGCTCTATTTTCCAAATTAAATTAAAGCGCAACACAGGATGTTTCAAGGAGGACACAGAAAGAAAATGAAAAGCACACAAATGACTTTAGGAAAGCTTTGAATGGAGGATAGATAAAGGCAGACAGAGGAAGAAGACAGAAAGAGAAAGACTGAAAGAGAGAATTAAAGGGCATGGACATGTGTGTCCTATTGGCCAAGGTCTCCAGTCACGCAGTGTGACTTGACATAATGTACCTTTACGTTAACTGCGTTTAAACTTTACCATTCTAAAAAAGTCAAGTTAACTAACCCCCAGTAACTACCAACTTCTGGAGGTGTACCTTAGTCACACAACCACACCTTGTCTGGATTTCAACTTACTTTCTGCCTCGTGTCGAGTTATAACTCCCTCCGAATTTCTTCCGATTAAGGATGAGAGCAGCAATTTCTGGCACGTAGCGAGCAAACATGGCCTACATGCATGGAATAGAAAAAAAAAAGAAAAAAAGCATGCAGAGAGGGTTCTACCGCACACAGAAAAACAGCAGAACCATCTGGAATACTTACTTTCTCCCATTAACCGCACTATAGGAACCACCATATTTCTTGCGGTTTCCTATTAACTCTATGATTTCAGGGACGTAGCTGGCAAACATGGCCTAAGGAGAAGATAGAAGACAGAAGAAGAGACTAAAAAAGAGACTAGTATGGCGCAGAGTGGGTTGTGGAGCGATTGGTGCGTGAATCCAGATTTCTGAGGATATAAAAAAAATATTAGCCTGTAAATCCCATCGCTCTCATTACCTGGAGAGACTCCCTAAAGTTCACAAAAATCAGTGGAGGGAAAAAAGAAGTAGCCCCAGTGTTTAAAAGTTCAGAACGGGTTTGGTTAGTGGGCAATAATTTTGTTACAGCTGACAGCTAGTCAGTCTGCAATTAACACCCAAAACCTTTCTTTGGAGAAAAGCTGAGGAAGAATAAAAACCTATGTGCCATGTTTTGTCCAACAAACACAGATGACCTGGCAGGTTGATTTGAATAGGCACACCTGATGGTCCACAGCTGCAAAACACATTAAGACTCATTTGTTGGGCTAGAAAATGAGCTGGATGCATTTTGCAAAGGTTGACAGCCTGTCGTCCCAGCACAGAGTTATGTTTAAGCTCACTGCTTACCAGTGGCGTATACTCGCTGGCGTTACTCGCGTAGGCTTGCATCTACAGTTAGCAACACAGAGATGCCCTTGCTCGGTAAAAGCATACTTCACTCATGCCTGGAAAAAATGTACTGTTACATTACCAGGAATAGTGTGACATTATGTGAGTTTGATTTTATCCTTGGCTTTAGCATACCTTCACCCTGGAGTCATTGCTAAGCCACTGCTGCTGAGAGGAAGCAGGCGGAGGTATTCGCCTAAAGACTTCCAGAACTCGCAGCACTAAGAAAACCTTGCAATCTATCACCATGGTCACAATATGGTACACATCCACACAGCTGTAGGTCATCAGTGCATACTGATAGCTGTCTTTGTACAGAATTTGGCTAAATCCTCCAGTCTTTGCGAGCGAAGACGAAGGGCGTGCGCGCTCTTCTGTATGCGACCGTGTGTTCGAGTGCTTACAGGTGTTTGCGTTCATGCGTGTTTACATGTGAGTTACTGTACTAGTGTCAGCCCAACGGGACGTTAGATCAGAGGAAGGTAAGAGGGCAGGTTGTGGGAAGCTGCCGTTGCTATGGTAACATTCAGGCTGGCCTAAGCTTCATCTCCCTGTCCCTGTGTTTGTTGGAATTGTGGGAAGAGACACGGAAGGAGGGGTGTCCTGAAACCGCAACTGCTTTTAAGAGAATAACAACATCATCAGACAAAAGCTTATAATCTAATCAAACAAATATAGGGAGGACACATAGGGGGAAGAAGACAAAGGAGCACAATGATTTGTGACTCCAGGAGACAAGATACAGTAGGCTAAACAGGAGGATACAACTACACTGTGACAAAGATATAGCATGTACTGTCTAGGCAATATAGTTCTAACAATATAAAAACACTACACTAACATGTTATACAGTATAGATCATTCTAAATATTAACATCACATTTTATTTATTTTATTTTTAGACATTTTAAACAGTTCTAAACAGTTTATTGATGGGGGCAGGCAGGAATTTATAGGGAAAATGGGATATAGGGAGAATAAAAAGTCTGATTTTACCAAACCGCCAAGGATGAAGAAGACCATAAAGAGGCGCCCCAAGGTGGTTCTTGCATAGACATCCCCGTAGCCCACTGTAGACATAGTCACCATCAGCAAGTAGACACATTCCCAATATGATAGTGACTGGGAATTTTGGAAGTTTTCCCAAGGATCCCCTGAGTTTTCCACCTAAAATTGACAAGGGAGTGATGCAGAAGGATCATTAGATACAATTCGCACAACCAATTTGTAAACAGAGTTTTTCTAAAAAGAAACAGTTTCCTGAGATTTGATTAAATCCAGCTGCAAGTGTGCCAGCATTCATCTCACTTTGTGACATCGTCTTGATTTAGTGAGCCTTGACTACCATCTAGTGGTAAAATCATTTAATACCTCACGAGTACGGATTTTCACTTTAAAAGCATCTGGCTTAACTGAAACCAACACTTTGATCAGAATAAAGGGAAGGTGAAGGAGGAGGCAGTTTTATGCTCCATTTTATGTGTTTGTAATATTAAATACCACATCCCTAATTTTGGTTCACAGGAAAGTTCCAAGGGTTAAAAACCCTATTTACAATTTACACGCATCCTACATGTGATCAGTATTAAAATTAAATATATGCAGAAATCTAATTTAGTAGAAATGATCTCAGGCAGGAATAAAAGCAAGTCATGCAGCGTGATCACATGAAAAAAATCTGCTTTGTTCAACACAACTACTTTTTCCCGCCACTGGAAGTAAGCCTGATAATAACTACACGAAGTGCAAAAAAGAAAAGAGGAACGCTTCACCTGTCCTGGAATGTGACACGTGTCACCAATTTCTCCATTCAGATGGGATTCATGTGAGAGTTTAGCCGAGATAACAAGAGTAGATTTCAATAACAGGTCTAAATAATAAATCTGAATACAGATCACATGGAAATTCCAGGCATAAATTTAATATAAAAATCTGAGCTGATCTTTCAGAAAATACTGATGATTCACACACATAACATGCTGGTTATTTGCTTTGTGACAGTTAGTTAAAATTTGCCCTACAGAATAAACACAAGATATTTACACAGATAGGGCTTGGCTTTAATATCCCTGATATATTTTATGTACATTAAAGTTAAAGTCACTAAAATGTCTTTAATTATGCTGCCTCCTAAGTTTTAGTGGCACAGCAGATAGTGCCCTATCCACATATGACATCACAGCAATGTTTTAAACTTGGAGAAATTTAATTTTTTACTAGCAAATACCATTAATTTAGGCTCTTTATTCATACTATCAGACTCACTGAAAGTGCTAGGTGTCACACTTGTGTCAGTGAGGTAGTTACAGTTAGTTCACTACAGTATCATTCTTTCTGGAACATTTAACTCTGGATGCCACTGGCCGTCACATCTGTCCACTTACCAAATGTATGAATCCAGCAGCTGTGAGCCATGTGCTTATGAAGATGGAACACAGGTTCACCAGCTTGATGGAATTGCTGCACAGAGTGAAAAAAAAATAAAACTCATTTAAGGCGGCGAGACCAGTGACAGAAAAAAAGAGATTTGTTTTATTCATATATATAACAAAGTTTTTTGTTTTTTTTTTACATCTTACAATAGTTGAAAGGAAATCAGGTTGAATAAAAATGTCAGAATTTTGTTCCCTATTATCTATTGTTTCCTTTTGTTTACTCCAAATCAACCACAGTGTTCATCACACACTCATGGTAAAAAGAAAGTCCCCAATCTTTCAGTTCAAGGTTTAACATAATAAAAACAATCATTTAATCCCCACCAGGTTTTAAAATTAGGTCAATGCAACCTCAGATGAAGAACACTTATATTACACTGTGTCGTCATTTATTTCACAAACATCACTGTGCAGAAATTTTGGCCCACTCTTCTTTAAATATTGCTTCAGTTCATTGAGGTTTGGGGAATTTGTTTCTTTTTCAGCCATTCTGTTGCATGTTTGCCTCTGTGCTCTGGGATCACTGGCCTGTTCCATAAGCCAGTTTGGGCCAAGTTTTATATGCTGGATAGGTGGCCTCACATTATACTCCAGAATACTTGAGTATACAGATTGCTTAATGTGCCACTCGATGATTGCGAGGTGCCCGGGTCCTGTCCCTGCAACACAAGCCCGAAGCATCAGCTCTCCTCCACTGTGCTGACAGCTGATGTTTGGTTTTCAAATGTGGCACTGTGCATTATGCCCAAACATGTCCATCTTGCTTTCTGCCCAAAACAAGCCACTCTTGTTCAGTCAGTTGCACTGACATGAACCTCAACATTTAGCAGGCTGTAGAGTCTGAGGTGTAGCTTTTTTATTTATTTTTTTAATTTTTTGCTGAGATGTTCACTCCTGGGATGATTGCCAACTGTCTTGAAAGTCTAGCTGTGAATGACCTTCATCCCCCGTAGAATACTGGATTACTTCTTTAAGATCATTGCTGATGTCTTGGCATCGAATGCTCCAGACCAGCAAACTGCCAAAATACGTGCCTTTATAGAGGTCCTCACACTTGCTGATGATTAAGTTAATGAGTTAATCAAGTACATTTGATTAGCGGCAACTGGTCACCACTTACCTTCTTAATATATATATATATCGAAGTATTTACCTAATTGTTTATACACCGCTTCTGTATTTTGGCCTAATTTGTGTGAACTATGGTATGGCTATATTATTATGTTATACATAATATATGACTTGTTGTTTATCTGAGAAGATATTTACTAAATTTTAAGAACTGATAAGGACCAGATGATTTGTATTATGTCCTGATAACCAAAGCATATTTATTTAAGACTCTAGGTGATAGGTTGGTCTTAATACTAAAAATTCTGTTGTCAGGGTATGTGTGTGTTTTGTAAATGAAAAAAAGAAAACACTTTTCTTACCTTGTTTTCAAGATATTTAAGAATTGCAAAATCTCTGAGAACTGTATCAATCTTAGTGCTCTCAGGAATCTTAAACCTGCGTGAACAGAGAAGAACAGAGAAACGTATCAACATGTAACATGCACTGACAGGAGGGAAATGTAGAGACAACACCTGTGCAGACATTGTCCTGAGTTCAAACAACATGAGGTTCTGCATGTTGGCAGATCAGCTAGTGATGCAGCCCACATGTTACCACAGCATTTAGGCACAGTACAGAGCAACATCATCCAAATCATCAAATGTAGCTTATAACATACAAGAAAACAAAACAAAAATAATACATCAATAAATAAATAAATAAATAGCACATTTTCTGAATAATTATGGTGTCAACCAAGTTAGAAGGAACATTTTAAGCCGTGAGTGTCAGTGCAAAGAGCAGGTCCCTCATGGATTATAGAGCAAAGTGGCAACTGTCTCATTGTGTCATGGTCCTGGGCCATGTTGGCCCAGTGTTCTTAGTTTTCTTGTATGTTTGTATTTTGTTCCTTGCTTAGGCCATGTTTTCTGAGTTGCCCTGTTGTGTTGTTCCCTAAGTGTTTTCCCTTCATGGCTTTTACCCCGTGTGCCCCTCTGTGTATCTGTGAGCCCTCGTCTCTCCTTATGTTTTATTCCATGTTTCCCCTGCCCATTATGTCTAAGTTCTCCCCGTGCTCTCTCTTCCCCCTGTGTGCCCTCTATGTATTTATGAGCCCTCGTCTCCCTTTGTGGTTGTTTCATGTTTTCCCAGCCCGTTATGTCTGTGTTTTCCCCGTGCTCTCTCTCCTCCTGTCTGAACCTCTGTGCACTTCCTGTTTACTTTGTGACTCTCACGCCCGTACATGTCATGTTCAGTTCACCCCGCCCTGTCTCGTTATGATTATCAGTGTCACCTGTGTTCCCCGTGTGTTCCCACTTTCCTCGTTAACCCTCTGTGTATTTCTGTCTGCGTCTCCCTCTGTTCAGCGTGACGTTGTCCCGCTTGCTGTGTGGATCTCCCTGTGTGTCTCTCTGTGAGTTTTCCAAGTTCCCAGTTTAGATTAGTTTGTATGTTTTTTCCCTGCCAGCAAATAAAGCTGAGTTTTGAGTTCACCTCCCTGAGTCTGTGAGTCCTGCACTTTGGGTCCAACTCCTGCCTGCCGCACAGCGATTCATGACACATTGTCTTTTTATATAACAGGTCCAATCCCATAGAACAAGCATACATGGATTTATGTCAGTGATAAAAATTCCTACTGAAATTATACAATCAGACCCCACAAATATAAGGTTGTCACAGGCACATCAATGATTCTGATGAAGCAATCTCACGTATTACACTTAACCTAAGGCTCTTACCCCAGTTGGAGAGAATGTGTAAACAGGACCAAACAGAATAGTAAAGTCCTGTCTGGCTTCCCTTTTTCTCCTGTCCATGATGGCCCTGCCTCACCCTGTATCCATTCTGAAAAAGATCGCCACAAGACTTCTTTCGCCTCCATGTCTCTTGGAGGGTTTGCAAATTTACATCACTGTGTGTACGACGGTACACAAGCAGTTTAGGAGGAATCATTGTTTCTGGACCAAATCCAGTACTTGGGACTTGACTTCAGGTCAAGAAGTCTGTAATCCTCAAATATTTAGGGTCTTTAAGTATTCCTAGTAAAATAACCAAAGAAAAGGCTTTAAAAAGAAAGGCTTCCTTGATAGGACAATGTTGCTTCTGTTGGTGTTAAATCATTGGTCTCCGTACATTCAGCTGCAGTTGTATAGGTTTTCCATGTCAGTCGCATCAGAGAGTGTCTCTGTGAGCAAAATGTCAGCTCTAATATAATTGTTTTTTTCCCTCATTTTTTGTTACAGTGCCTTTAATCCCCACAACCCAAACAGATTTACCTTTCTCCTGCCCCTTTTAGTGATTTACTACTAACCCCTATAAAGCCACGTCTCCATCAACACAGCTGTGTCAAACCTTTCAAAAAAGTCTGAACCATGCCAGGGATTAACAGAGATGAAAATAAAGCAGAACAAAAACAATAATCCGTACATAAAATGAGAGACCTGTTTTCACAATGAAATTTCAAACAACTCTGTCTGACAGTAAAAAAAAAAAAAGTAAAAAAACAAAAACAAAACCCATCTCTGTCAGATTAGGACTACAGATAAGGAATCTACACTTCCATGTAAACATGTATTTAGGGCATAAATTCCTGAAACTTTTTTTTTTTTTTTTTTTTTTAAACAGACACAAATGAATCCTCCAGCTCCAGGTATTTTAGCAGAATCAAAGGAAAGACTCCCTCTGGAGCTGGAAGCAACAAGACGACATAAAATCCAGATTATATTGTCATGACCCTCAGTAATCACTTTGTATCTATGGCAACTGAAGCTGTGTTTTTCTCATGTTTATGGCCCAGAATGGGACTGAAATCTGAAAGAGAAATCTGATATTGTACTTTTGCAAAAACCTGTTTGTTTGTTTTTTTAAACCCAAACAACAACAACAAATTATAAGTACACTCACCAGCTCCTTTGTAAAGTACTCTGTGCTAGTACTGAGTTGGACTCGCTTTTCTCTTCATAACTGCCTTAATGCCTCTTGGCACAAATTTAGCAAGGTGTTGGAAAATATTCCTTTTTGAGCCATACAAACATGATAGCATCACACAGTTGAATTTACAGTCATCTGCACAAGATACACATCTTTATTTCCACTAAATCCCAAAGGTGGTCTATTAGACTGAGATCTGGTGACTGCAGAGGCTATTTGAGTACAGTGAACTCACTGCTGTGTTCAAGAAACCTTTGTGACATGGTGCGTTATTCTGCTGGAAGCAGATAAGCAAAAGATGGGTACACCGTGGTCATAAAGGAATGGCCATGTTCACCAACAATACTCAGATAGACTGTGGTGTTTAAATGATGATCAGTTGCTACTAGCAGGTTTTCTTGACCATGTCTAAATGCACCGAGTTACTGTCATGTCGTGTGGCTGATTAGATGTTTGTGATAAGCAGCTGAACGATTATATCAAACAAAATTGCGTTTCTCCTGTCCATGATGGCTCTGCCTCACCCTGTCATGTCGTGCGGCAACACAGATACATGTATATATAAATAATGCTTTTTAGTTTATTTTTAGTTTTCTTTAGTTGTAACAACGACCATCTATAAATAATGTCAATGAATAATAAAACAGTTGAACAAATGTACAATATTAAACTTAATATTAATTAAGGAAAATAAATTAGCAACATAAGTTTAAATTTCATATTTTTTAATGACCACAAATCATGTTTTCATAGACGCTGATATCCTATTGAAAAAATGTAATACTCCCCTTGGTGTTATGCTGCTTCCTGTTTTTACTCCACTACATGATGGATGCAATTATTGTAGTTTGTTTATTTTAAAGCTTTAGATGTGTATTATTTCGCTGATATATCAAGAAATCTAGCCATATATGGTGTAACAACAGGTCAACAACAGCTGCAACATTAAATGTATGAATCAATAAATTCATAAGTATTATACTATGATATCATTTATACAGATGATTCTTGAAAGTTTTACTTCAACTACTTTAAATATGTTTTGTTTATATCATTGCTAGCCTACTTAAGTAGTATTCTAATTTTACTTTAGTATATAAAAAAAAATCCAACTGATGGTGTGGATCGTAATTCATACTGCACACATGTAATCCTAACTGACCTCACTGTGTTTTGCCTTTTCGCATTGGCTTTGGATGCAGTGATTCACACCTGTTTAACAATAACAAACAAAATTGTACATAAAAACAAATGACTACGCTCCACAAACTGAAACTGTATATTTGTTCGACTGGCAAACACAGAAATGCTGTGTTGCACTTACAACACAAAACATAGCAGCCAGCTTTTTGACATAAAACTGATGTGACAACATCAACAAATACTTCGCAAATTTGGCATTCATTATTGCAAATATCAGACATGCCACCAAACACACAGTGATGCTGCGATGCAGGTGGCTGCAGAACACATTTTTCTCAATTAGTGTGAAGCATCTGTGTTTGTGTTATGCTGTACATCTGTGCGTGTGGTATTTTGTCTTGCGTTTAACACTTTGTGAGACTTTGTGGAGAAATATCTGTTCACGCTATCACATCTGAGACTTCACCTACACTGAGTGAGAGCAAGAAAAACAGCCCCACAAAGGCCTACAACAATTATAACACACAATAATTTCTTTTCTATAAAAAAAAATGTGTATTATGTAAAAATCATGTTAAAAACAAACCAAAAAAAAAACCTCAATGAAATTCTCTTGCTGTGTTCATGTATGAGAAAATCTCTTTCCCGCACATGCTAAAGCCTCTTGCACACATGTGTCAGCTTGCCAGATGCTCATTCAAAAAAAAAAGGTTTTCTGTTCTGTGCCCGCTCTTACTTAATTGAGGCTTTGCAAGCCCAAGCACTGACTCTGTGTCACATGTCCTGGACGGGCAGCTTTCTGGGGCTTTTTATCAATCGGCAGGCTGGAGCAGTTCATCTGGGATAACACTGACAGTAAACCAAGCCAGGATTAGATTATATGATGCTACGCTAATCTAAACACACAGATCCTCAGCAAGTGTACACAGCACTGACTCTTCCTGCTCATTCATGGAGGATAAACAGTCCATATTTATCAATACATAAAAAAAAAAAATGTTCAAACTGCAACACGCGAGAAGCCTGGCTATACCAAAGAGGCTTAAACTTCCCTCGAAACAGTTTCCCTTCCCTACCATGGGCTGAAGGGCCATATAAAGCGATCATGCCCATATCAGGTGCTGTAAGCCTCTTTCAGCAGGAAACCAACAAACTAACCCACCACTAGGAGGCAGTAGCATGTCAGAATATAAGGCACGTCTGAAGGCTACAAACTACTGCACATTCTTCAGGCCAGTGAAGCTTCAATAACATTAGATTGACACCATTTCTTACTGGCTATCCAAAAACAGCACACTTTAATCAAATACAATGAAATAGAAATAAAATAGACTTTGCAGTTGTCTTTAGGTATTTTCATGATGCCATTTGTCTTTAAAAAATTGTTTTATTCCTTAAATATTTAAAACTGGGAAGGTAGTCCTCTGTAATGGCTGTGGTGGAAAGGCATGGAGTTAACTTACAGAGTGTGAAAGCTAAGGCTCAGTAGCCACAAGATCTATGAGCATCTTTCAAACGGCAAATCCCACACTGTCAGGACTCTTGGGAGAAATGTTAAGTTCAAGTAGTTAAAGGAGATTAATTCCTTTTTCCAAGGAAGAACTCTACATGCACTCTTACATTAGCCTCACATCATTCTCCTCCCCTTAATCAATGTCCAATTTGCAAAGCCAAAGAGAACATGACTTAAAATGTGCACAGCGTATACAGGCACTGCCTTGTGTGCAAAGTGGGTGAATACTCTACCACAGAGCACAGGGCAGAGCCCTTATTAGTGGGCTTTTTATTAACTGGGCACACCTCCACTGAATTTCCACTGGTCTTCTCCAGGACTGAAACGAGAGGTAGTATAATTGTGATATATTATGCTGGCTGGTGTGTGGTGTGTATTCCCTACCAGCTAATTGAAGTGAAGATGAACCAATCCAAGGGGATTGAAGAGCACAATACGCACTCTTAACAGCCACCATGGCTTCTAACAAAGCCTGCGTTAAGGAACAGTATGGACACTTAACTAAATGAAAGTAACAGCAGTTGTGCATTAGCTCGTTTTGGCCCTGTTAAGCTGTCTGATGGAAGTGAACAACCACATACACAGCTAAAGCAAAACGGGCAATTTCATTTATTTAACAGTGAATTGCAAAGGTCACCATCAGAAAGCAGATCAGGTTCTGACTGATACCGTTTAATTGTGCTTATTTTCCTCCCACCACAGAGTTCCATATTAACTCCCTTATTAATACAGGATATAAGCAGTTAATAATGACTGCTATTCTCAGGTTCTCGACCTGAATATGAAGACACTTTCAGCACATGATTGGTATTCTAAAATCGACCGTCACATCCTACTGCAGATCGACGCTCTGTTAATTTTATAACATGGGCTTCGCAGCACTTTATGTTGCTATTAAACACAACGCCCGGTAAAAATAAACCCATCCCAACGCATGACAGAGGGTTTTCTGTTCTTTTACTGTGCTGCTGTTAGACAAGTCCAGCACTAAAATAAAAAATGTCTTCGTTTTTATGAGGTGGAGATGCCACCTCTCGTGTCACCACTGTGAAACTGAAACGCACTGAGTCTCCCCATTTAAAAATAATGAAGAGCCCTGGAATCTAGGGCATCTCTAAATAAAAAAAACATTATAGGCACATTTTGTTTAAGGATAACAGCTCACAGTGAAGCTGGATTATATGTTAAGGTGTTGTTCTTTCCTGCATCAGGTCTACATGCAGGATATTTAATAATCATTACAGAACATCAGCCAGCAGCCAGACCACTATTTCACAATCTTTCATCATCCTCATCAAGGGCCTAACGCCAACAGTCTTCTGGGGAGGAGATGAGGACACCTTGCATCATGAAACCAGACTACTTGGCTTGGCCACGTCTAATTCATTACACAGCTTGTTCCGTGTGAAATTCGTGAACCACTCTGCGCTTCTTAAGAAACCTTCATCAACTCAGAGATCAAACATTCACAGCCTCACATTACTTCACAGAGTCAGTGATTCTGGCGGGCATGTAAAAAAAAAAACCTGAGGAAAACCAGCATTATCGAGTGATTCCTCGTGTTTCTTCTCAAATTTAACAAAAACCTTGCCAATGGCAATATCGATTGCTCTACTCTTTTAAAACTCAGTGAAATCCTTAAAAATGTAGCAGTGAACACCAAGAGCACCCTGAAACGGTCACATTTAATTAATTGTAATATTTGAGCACTCCTACTGTTACTGATAAAGAGTGTTGGAGACAAACTCGACAAAAATGGCAATTTGAAGGAAGGCTAAATGTCATTATTAGTGTGACTACTGCATTAACATTGTCGCTCAGCAATTTTTGTATTCCAGTGACACAATAAGACCAACGCTGGAATAGTGTCGGCACGAACGAGCTTCTTTTTTGAGGTTTTTAAAAGCAGAGAGGCAGAGCATCCAAAAAAGAACACACCTACAAAGAACTGCAATGTAATTTAGGTCACATCATCTAAACACGGTGGGGAAAAAATAGGTCGTTATGTAATGCAGGTTAGGGTATTTTCCAGTCTGCTCATGCGAGAGTGTGTATAAGTGTGTATGGGGATATCACATGCTTTTACATGTGCATTTTTTTGTTCGCATGGATGTGAATGAGTCTAATAGATGGTACAGCACTGTGAGGTACCCCAGGTGCAACGCCTCAACAGACCAAGTACTAATGAATGTGAAGCACAAACATGGAGAGTCACCGAGCCACAGCCCTACTCTGAGTCACTTTCACTCCCATTAGTTGATCCACTCTGCTGTGTCTGTGTTCCCTGAAACATCAGAGGAACCCAGCCCTGTCACTTTCAATGACGAGGGAACATTGACTGTAGCCGCAAGCAAGAGAGCCTCCGAGATTTGCTCCCAGTGATGGGGAGACGGTGGGAGTGATAGGAGGAGATAAAAAAGAAGGGTGGCATTCAATGACAGAGGGCAAAAAGGAATAGAAAGACACAAATGTGAGGATGAAAATTATTAAAAATAAGCGGAAAGGAAAAGCAATAGGGTCGATAGAGTGAGAGCTATAAGTTTAAGTTTATGGATATGGAAACTTACCAAGCCAGCTTCTGTTTAAGTAGACAGAGACGAACACAGGAGGAACAGTGAAGAAGTCAACCACTGAGTTGACCTCCAGCCAGAACCACAGCTTGTCATTGGCTGCTATAAACTGTCAAAAAGAAAAAAGGTGACAACTGAAGGTTAATTTTGCACAAAACATCCTGACTTTGCCACAGCCCGCTCTTCAAACTGCTGTGTCTTCTTTTGACAATGCTGACTTATTATACACAATGACAAAAGCTTCACCCTACTTGCTGAGTCATGCAGTAATGGTTGTTGGTGTAAGCAGCTTATGAGTTTGTTTGTTTTTTTCATTCATTCAGGATGTCAAGCATCCGGATAGCATTTGCACCATCGGAATTCTGCTCTTGCATGACAGCCATGCTGGGAACATCGTTACAGCAATGTCAGCTTAAACTAAAGGTACGCTGTTTGAGTAATGGGTGACTAAGGTAAAAGTCTGCACATGCATGTCCAAAAGATTACAGTGTCTCAAAGTAACTGTTTTTTATGCCATCATAAAAATAAAATCAATAAAAAGCAGTAAATGAATGAAGTCAGATGCATTAAAGAGCCTTTTTGAAGATAAAACAACAGCTATATGGCTGTATTTTGTAGTACATTCATTGCACAGCAGATGCATGTAAAAAATGGGTGTGTGCATGCACCAGCTTACCCGCAGGCCAAAGTAAAGAAGGAAGAATACGTTGAAGGCCATATCAATCTGTAACGTGAAATCTTTGTAGAAGTTCTGGCAGGATTCTATAGGACTAGAGACAGAGAGAATTATCAGTTAACAGCAATTATCAGTCAGTAAATGTGAAATAATTTGATCAAAATATGGAGTTATAACCATTGTAATAAAACTGAAATCTCCCGTAATACTGAGCTCAATGCAATGATGGTGTTTTACGTCGACTGAGTCCGAGGAGTGAGTGGGAGGGGCGGGTCATAGAGCAAGATGAAAGACTTATGGCTCTAGCTTAGCTGTAGAGTCAATCGCATCTAGATGAAACGGCCAAAAATATACTGAAAGTGGAGTTTGCTTTGATGTGACAGTACTTTCAACGCGCATAAATTATTCCTTGTCTGTCACACACAAATGTTCCAAAAGATAGTCCCTCATTTAAAGAGAATGTGTGGAGACTGCAATCACTGGGCTGGTGATACTCTTCAAAAAGGCAGATGATGAAAAATGAGTTATTAACTGTCTGGTCTGTCATATGATCCATTTTCTTATTTACCGCGTGATGATTAACCATTAGCGAGTTGGTGCTCGCAACAAAAGCAATAACAGGCTCTGTGCCCACCCCATTCTTCACTTGGTCATGGGCCTATAGTATTTTGCTCTTGAGTAATGAGGAAATCCCACTGTGGGGATAAGCATGAATATGCATTACGGTGTGGCTGACTACAGGCGACATTTTGGGAATGTATAGAGCGGTGAGGGAAGACACACTGGGCTATTACCACAGCACACAGTTCAAAGTCAAGTTAAATGTTTAAGTCTACATGTGTATGTAGGGGGCCCATGGGGATGCAGTGTATGAATCAGAATGGATTTTTACCACATAATGAGACCCCCAAAGGAAATGATTAGTGAAACTTAATCATCTTCCAGTTAACATCAGACCCTTGATCACATGATGCTTTTTTTATAATGGCTGACTAAGTAGAGAAGGAAGATTGCTCGAAGAGGATGATCCAACTTCTAATACGTGGCCTTGTTGGGCATATCCTAAAGACTGATGCGATCTTTTAGACACTGATGCTGAGAGCTAGGATGATATGGATTAGTCTAATTTATGCAGCAACTGTTTAAAAATCTAATCCTTAGAGCTAAAGTAATGGACCACCAGAAGTATCTCTACGCGATATCAGATCAAATTGAAGCAGCTCACAGATAATAAGTAAATAATAAGTATTTGGCATCCAAAATATTCATCCGCAAATCTTCTAACATCTACACAGTGAAACTCACACAATGATTTAGAAGTTCAACCTTAGCTAATGTTTGCAGACCTAAGCGCAAGTCAGTGTCTTAACAAAGCACATATGATCATAAGCACACATTTATACACATGCAGATGGTGCATACTGAAGACACCATTTGGAGCGGTCACTGTGGAGTTTTCCCTTGGGCCCAGCTCTGGCCTAATTCTGAATAACCACTAAAGTCATATGACTGACTCTTGACAATACAGAGAAAGCATGGCAGCAGCAGCAGGGCTCGTGTGGTTCACTGAATCTGCCGTCTATTCGCTTTAGAAAAACAACACAATGGTTACACAGAGAGCTCGTGTTTAGTCATTTTATAATCATCATTGGAAAGCAAAGCTCATCATTAACTAAAGTAGGGGGAAGACACAGTGAGATGATTTCATCAGTACAACATGGGTACAGTCCAATTATAGAGCGGCTGAATTTTAAACTGCATATTACGGCAATGTGAACTACAAAGGAAGAAAAACAAGAACAGACAGGTGACTTTTTTCAAGTCCACTGTTTTTTCCACCTTCTCCCTGCATTAGATTTGCCAACCTTGGCTGTTCTTTTGTGGACATTTTTAAAAGCACAAATAAAAATGAAGCCACACTCCTAATACAGGTGTGCTAATAAATGGATTCGATGTACTGCAGTCATAGAGTTGAGTGCCATCACACGCGTACAAATTGTTATGTTTTGTCTGCTAACATTAAAGCAACATTTTTTCAAATAATGTACTCCTTTAATTTAATCTAAAGCTGCACTAAATGCAGCAGAAAGCAGTTCCCAGCCAAAAAAAAAAAAAAAAAGCTGACTGTGCACTACAGTACCTGAGCCTCACAGAAAGATACACAAAGCAGGAACTACTTGACAAACTAAGTGGAACATTTAGAAGCTAAAAGGCCAGAGAGACTGTTTTATATTGTGAGGCCAGGTTTAATATTCAGACGATGTTAAGTAGAAATATTTGTTCCAGAATTCTGCTAGAAAAATGTTATTTATTGAAACGTGCAAATATACATGCAAATATCTCTTTTATGACTGTCTGCTGCCTTTTGTTCTGCTTTCTGTCAAGATGATCCCACAGTGCCTCAATAATGTTGGGGTCCAGACTCTAGGGAGGCCAATCCATGACTGACAGTGTTCAATTTTGTGTTTTTCTCTCCAACTATGCTTTTACTGGATTGGCAGTATGCTTGAGATCATTGTCATGCTGAAAATTGAATTGGATGCTGTCTGCATTCATAATTACATGCATTTTGTCAACACCACTGGATGAAATCTTAATGTTTTTTTAGTTTTTTTTTTTAGGCCCGATATTTTGTCTTCCACTTTTCCAGTTTCCTCAGTTTTGTTGTAACCGCACACTGAGCACAATAGTGAGATAGCTGAGCTAATAGCTCTTTAGAAATCATCTTACTTGTACCAAAATACTATTGTACGCCTTTCAAACTGTGTTTTCTTTATACATTCAAGTAAAGGGATGGGAATATATTATGTGTTTTTGCGACTGGCTACTAGTAACAAAGCATGGAGACCATGTTAAAAATTACGAGAAAGTATGAAAGGAAATGGAAAGAAATTACGGCTGACCCAAGAATTTAGCACAGTATGTATTATGCATAAACAAGCAATTCATTTGTATTACAATTTTTTGTCTATCCGCCAACCATAGAAAACAAGAATTTACACAAGACAGATTTTGCGAGAAAAATATGGCATTACTATTCAGTTTACTCCTGCTAAACTTGGATTTAAGGAACTCAGTAGGTCCTTGGCACAGAAATAGATGCCAGGTCATTATATTCCTACTGGGTGTAGCTCAGGAGGTATAGAGCAGGTCAACTACTGATTAAAAGTTTAGCGGTTCGATCTCTGGCTCCCCTAGTCTGTATGCCAAGTATCCTTGGGTAAGATACTAACCCCAAGTTGCTCTCAGATGCATCCATCGGAGGATGAATGCATGTGAATGTTAGCTAAAAAGCACTGAAAAGCATAGAAAAAAGTGCTGGTGTGAATGGGTGAATGTGGCATGTCGTATAAAGTGCTTTGAGTGCTCCATGAGGGCAGAAAAACGCTATACAAGTCTCCATTTACCATTTACTGATTCTGATGAGTGAACTCTGAGACACCCCTCCTCAAACTGACCCCTTGCAACTCAACAAAAATTTCTTCAGACATGGCATTTTTAAGTTAGGGGATTTATAAAGGATAACCTAAGGCAAAATTCATTCATAGCATATAATCCTAAGTAAGAGAGCAGTGGGCGACACCTGAGAACAAGCTCCAAGTTACTGTGCCTTGATCAAGAAAAATTAACCCAGCAAGTTTCTTCCTGTGACAGAAGGAAACCAATGAAAGCCTGGAGACAACATGTAAACTTTAAAAGTTGACATTACTGTCACGTTAACACTTTTAGTCACACATACAATCAGAACTGCTCCCAACAAACAGATGTTTACATCTGCGCTGTAACTGCAATAATTTAATCAACCGATTTGCACTACAACCTGGTTTGCCTCTTATCTGTAGTTAATTTTATTTAATTTTAATAACTGTACAGTACTCTGTTTATAGTAACCATTGTCCTTAATGTAAATATGTAAGAAAAATTGTGTATGTTTCTGTTCTGTGTCCTGTTTACCGTTTGTTGTATATGTGTCTTTCTGGCTGCTGTTACAACCAAATTTCCCCTTGTGAGACAATTAAAGGATTATTCTATTCTATCTATTCTTCTATTCTACATCTCCAAAAGTTGATTCTGTTCATCTGGACGTAGCGTTTTGTGGGAGAAACGTTTCGTCACTCATCCAAGTGACTTCTTGGATGAGTGTTTTAGTCACACAGCTCAAAAGTAGTCATGAAATAGTTAATGAAGCCTTAAAGTTAAATGTTAAGGACAAAAGCAAATAATTAGCAACAACTGTGGCCTGACAAAATTCAATTCAAAATCCCTTAAAAATGGGTTCATACTTGAGAATTCTGCAGCCATGTCCAGGTGCCACTGCATATGCCTTCGTCAACGTCACATGTTATCAATTTGTCATGGGATAAAAGTGGGTTGCCCATGAATTCACTCATTATTGACCTGAACAACTATTCAAAAAGATGATAAGCCTTTTAATTCTGTTATGCATTGCCCAGCAATAGGATGGGCGCTTCTGTTATTGAACCCCACTATCTGTGTCACCTTCCCACACAAAGAGTGTGTAAGACAAGACAAAATCCAGATTCCTGCTTTCAATGTCATTTCACACTCTGCGATCACAAGGGATTCCTGGCCACATGCTGCCAGTGTCCTGCAGAAAATAGATCTGCCCACCACAGGTCTTATTACTCCTTAAGCTCTGCCACAGCCTGGGGTTACACCATCGTGCCTGACAGGAAGAGGAGACGAGAGAGAGACGGAGCAAGAGGAGGGAGCAGGGGTGGTGGGAGAGAAAGAAAGACAGCAGCAAGACATGTAGAGATTAGACAAGGAGAGAAGAAAGGTTGTGACATAAGAGGGAGAAGAGCCGAAGATGTAAAAGTGACAGCGGAAAAACTCTTCATCTCCAACCCCACTGTGCTTATTACCTAAACTAGGACTAGATATGCACATGTATACACACGCAGACACACGCAGAATAACAATTAGGGGCAAAATCTCGCAGGATATTAAAGGTAGAAGCATCAAAATCCTCTGATCCCCACCTAACCCACCGCAACATGGGCCAGACAGGCAAAAAGTCATTTGCGTCTCAAGGGCAACAGAGTATGTTGATGATGATGATCTAAAAATAGT